GTTACCGAAAGACCTGTACTCAATTAAACAATGCTGATGTGTTGCACAGCCGCACGATAAGCATGGCAGGAACACCGCACTGATAGGTTCTGTGCAAATTGTGCAGCAAAGTTGGCGTTGAACAGTCTTACAGCGATCACATCGTCCGGCAGCACCGCCGATGGAACTCAAGTGGAGGGGATCCAGACGCGCTTCGTGCTTGAGGCAATAGCCCGCAATGTCTAGACCTTGATTAGTCGATGAGGCATGCAGATCCTTTTTACCCAGAATTATTTGAGTTGGAGGGGATGCCTCATGGATCACAGTATGGCTATCATTAGACATTATTGAGGCAGCGAATGACTTATTGTCGGGAACATCCATCTCAGAAGTATGGTTCCGTAGTCCATCATACTTCAAGATTTCCAATCTAGCCAAGGGGAGTCCCCAACAATAAAGCAATTCGGCGTAGGCTTGACGATAGCTCATGTGACGAGCCATGTGGTTCCTATCCAATAGTGTCGTACCCATGCATCCTTCGTCGTCAAACCCATTCTGATTTTCCAATGTCATCTTGATCCCGATACAAACCTTTGGCTTGAGTTCATCCATTGTGCTTTCATCATCCGAAAACGCCATTTGTTCATTACCAACTCGTTCTTTTACGCTTCCAAGGACTGTTGTATTCCCCCAAGTAATAGCACTAGGAGCCAAGCTCAACATGTGTTCAACTGGGCTAGGTCGTTTCCGACTTGGTGGTGGATTCGGTGGTGATGATGACGCAGTCATAGAAAACGGACGCGAAAAGTTTGCAGCAAAACTTGAGGCAAGACTCGAATTTCCACGTCGAAAGGTTCTCGGGTTTTCCGGAGAAGTCGACAGACTTTGAGTATGTTGTGGAAGATTTTCCGAGCTTCCTCTATTTGACCTCAGAGGGGGGGTTTCACCACAACTATACGATGCCGAAGCAGGGTCACTGCCCCAAGCACCGGTGGAAGATCCCATAGATCCAAAGATTCCAGAGGGCGTATTAACTAATTTTGGTGTTGACACAGCAGATTCTACTGGAGTCTTTTGATACATACTCCAAGCTGCGCTGTTGTTTGGGAAATAATCGACAGAAAACGCAGGAGTCTTCATAGAGAGAGGTGTCTGCGGTTGAGTCGCGCCACCATCAGCGTTTATTGCATGTGATGGTGCGCCGGAAGCAATTGGTTCACTGAACACACAAGATAGCATTGCAAGCATTTGAATGTCACGGAGCTCTTCAAAGTGCGTGAAGAGATCTCCAATCAATTGCTTGGCAAGAGGACTGCTTCCCCACTTGACTCTTCCAGAAAAGCTACCACGTCTACGTTGCTTATCGTGAGAGACATCGATACCACTATCTGAGCCGCTGTCACGACGATGTTTCTTTGCCATGCTCTCAGCTATCACTAGCACAGGCTCACGGCGTTGGCTTTGTTCGAGAACTTCAAGAGGGATATCATTGTGTAGCAGCATAGCAGCATATCTCCATACATCAGCCAATTTGGAGTGACCGTACTTGTCAGCAATACTTGCATTATGTTCGCAGAGATACGGACCACTACCAAAGATGGCATATTCTTCTGCAAGGTAAACCTTTGCAGGAAGAAAATCATTGACATCACATAAAGATATGATGTTTTTAGGCTTCACAGATCGCACCCTACTAAAGCCTGTTCCGGTGGCCGTGTTGGTTCCAGTTCCTGTACCGGCCCCAGTTCCAGTTCCACCGGACCTTTGAGACATTATAGTTGGCGATCCTCTCATAGGGAATCGACGATTCGATCGACGCCAGTACTCTCTCATTGCAGGATATCTAGTAATACGGAATTGCGAAGAATCAGTATCGCTGCTGTTTGACGAATCATATTCATCTGATACTTCAGAATCAGCTTTGCTGTCTTCAGTCATTGACATAGCCTTAATGCGTGGCTGGGGCGAACTATTGTTTGCCAATCGACCAAAGGCATCAAAATTAGGTTCGCCTCTCGGTCGGGAAGTTCTGGAATCGGTTATTTTTTCGAGTAAAGACTTCATTTTATCTTCTTTTGGTGGAAAGAAACAGACTAGCTTGCCGTTCATTGCAAAGCGAGCACCGCAAAGTCTAGGTAGTGGTACATTAACATTTCGTGGTAAGCTGATCGTTTCCGCCGTAACACTGGAATCTAGCTCTTGAGACATCATTGCCGAAGCACCTGGGGGAATATCACTATCCTCTTCATCGCTTGAACTTTCGTCTGCAAGACCATCCAAATCGTCATCGTCTAGATCATCTATATCATGAAGAAATATAGTACTCGTTTCAAGATCAACCTCTCCAAGCAAATAACATAGAGCAGCTTCCAGACAGCCTTGCTTACGACTTACAAAACTTGTTGCAATTTGCTGTACTTCCTTTCTAAGTTTATTGTAGGTCTCATCGGGCATGAGGGACGTTCTGCCAAGTGTAAAGGTGGGGGCTTTGGTCTCCGGATACTGATCAGGGAAGGTAATGGTTGTCTTGATATAAATTGGTGTGCCATTTTCACCCCATGGTCCGTTCATGGAAACAACAACTGTCCTCTTGTCCATATCAACGCCATCAAATGTAATTTTCGGAAGCTGGTCATTGATGCGTATAATCTCATCGTGTAAAGTCTCTGGCTCGTCCCAATCACCATCCTCTTCAAACTCAGGACTCAGCAAAGACAACCTTCTCGACAATGATCGCTTGCGCCGCATGGATCCGTTATCGGGTTTCGAGAACTTGATTCCACTCATCCAGCCAATCTGAGACTGGTTTAAGTCTTCTTGCTTCGTTGCCTTCTCCTTTCCTCGCATCGCAGGGGCGCGGATTGTGGTATGAGTACGGGAAGTGTGAGGCAAGGTCATCTTTTTCATCCCAACACTAAATGAACTCAGCTTCAGGCCAGAACTACCAGGTCGAGGACCGGTAATTGTGGCTGTCTTCTTATCGCTTGCAGATGTTTCCGTGGTACGAAACGTCTTGTAGACTGCTCCTTTACGTGTGAGGTTGAGCTTTCCGTGCACCTTTTTCCCTTTCACATAGCCAACTCCCTCAAGTGTATCATGGTTCACGTGTTGCATTTTCAATTGGTTGTCCTCACCCCACGAAACTAACTGGAATTCTCTATTGTCTTCTCCCTCATCTGTGATGCTTCCACGACTTCTCCAGAGAAATTCTTTGACTTTTGAAGTTCCATGCCCCGGAAAGGTAATGACTGCTTCCGTGATAGAGTCGGTAGAATTGTCCCCAGTGATACGCCGATCATAGAGATGAAGGTCCCCAGGAGTGTCCTGAGGCATAGCTAAGATTCCCCAACCAAACGGTGTGTGTCGAGCTCTCCAGACTGGGAATCCTGTGTGTATAGTGCGCTCTGGGACATCGGATTCGTTCTCATAATCCCAAAATTTAATTGTTCTATCCAAAGAGCAAGTAACTAAGCTTGAGGCACGAGTACGATTCCAATCAACACCATATATTTTTGATTCATGCGCATTGATGGACCTCAATGGAACAGCGCCTTTCCTATCGTCCCAGATCCGTAGCCATCGATCATGAGATGAAGCTATGATATGCGGATCCTGACGGCTCCATTTGACCTGCGTTGCACCTGCAAACCAATCACAAAAGCTCAGAACAGGTTGCCGTGGTCTACGTAGATCCCAACAATGTACATATCCATCAACGGCACATGTTGCCAGGATATCAGGATGATACGCCGAGAAATTGATGTCGGTAATAGCTCTTGTGTGCCCATGGAGTGTGTGTTCAATTGCACCATGAGAAGCGTCCTCCTGCATATTCAAATTCCAGACAAGAGCCTTCTGATTGGCAGTGCTAACCACCCAATAGTCGCGAGCCGCGAAAGGGCACCACTGAACGTCAGCCACAAGCCATGGGAGGCCATGTCGAAGATGTCGTGGGGGATTGAGAGGAGAATCAAGATCAATTATGTCTAAGCCATCGGTCCTGAACAGAAGAGAAAAGTCTTAGCAAATCACGGAATGCGATTGTTGAAGTACTCACGAGGCTAAAGCAACGTCGCGTCCGGAAGGAGATATAGTAGCGGATCCGACTTTTCGGTCTACATGTATAGACACATCTGCATCAAATGTAGTGCTGTCAAACGCCGACCTGATGGTCTTCCCCTTTCTCGAGTCTTCCATAATCTGAGTACTAAAGTTTTCGCATTCTCCAAATCAACAATATCACTTCGTACGGGGATGACTACAGGGCGAATATTTCGATGTTCGAAGTATGTAAACTCAAAGAGTGCTATCTAATTAGGGTATAGGCATTCTGCAATCCTTGAACGAACCTAACCGCATACAGTCTTAGACAGGAAGATCAAAACGATAATATTAGGCTATGACGATCAAAGGGCATGGTGATCTTCAAGTTGTTTCAATGGCAGATTTGGATGACGATAAGGCAATGAGGACAAGAGTGTGGAAAACACCCAGTCCTTGGAGATGTGAAACTGTTGCAGATAGTGCCACTCCGTACATACCAAGTAGTACTAGCGTCAACCTTAAGCGGGAGTTGCCGTTCAAGCTTTTCTGTCAGCCTTGTGCATGGGCTGTGCAGTTTTAAGAGTTTGATAAGTAAGGTTACATCAAGATAGCATCAGATTTTCTGAAAAAGCCTCTTCTCTCTTTCTTGATCTATCGCCCTTAACTCAGCAAACCAATATCACGGTGATATTTGTACTGGAAACCATTCGTAGATCCATCGACAATTCGTTCAACTTTTCCCACGCCCACATCTTTGGTTTCCGAGACGTCCAGAACGATTTCCCTTGATAAAGTACCCCACCACTCGATCTGAACGATCCGGTACCTATAAGGTTATCTTATCAACATCACGAGCACGAAAAAAAAACCCCTACCTTTATGGGTGTATGTTGAGCCTTAGACTCGATAACTGCCAAAAGAGTACTAATTCAACCAAGTACAAGCTCAACAGACACTCAATACAGAACCTTATCGACATGGCGGCTTTACCAAAACGGATCATCAAGGAGACGGAGAGATTGATGCAAGAGCCGTATGTGAATCTTTCAGATTGGATCGTGCATGCCGTAACTAACGAAAACATACAGTGTTCCAGGTATCAGCGCAGTTCCCCATGAGGACAATTTAAGATATTTTGATGTCTCGATACACGGTCCATCCTCTTCTCCATATGAAGGTTAATACACTACGGACAAGTTCTAGCACTTTCAGTAGGCTAATGTGATTTACAGGCGGCATCTTCAAGCTGGAGTTGTTTTTACCAGATGACTATCCGATGACTCCTCCAAAGATTAGATTCCTTACAAAGATCTATCACCCAAATATTGATAAGCTCGGCAGAATTTGTTTGGACGTTCTCAAAGGTATGTAACCTCATTTTCATGTCCCATTTCATGGGTTTGCTTCATATGCAGTCCACTGACCCCGACTTGTGCAGGTAACTGGTCTCCTGCACTCCAGATTCGAACAATCCTCCTCTCGATCCAAGCTCTTCTCGGGGCTCCCAACCCGGACGATCCATTAGCTCCAGAAGTGGCAAAGAGATGGAAAGAGGACGAGCCGGCTGCAATTGCGACTGCTAGAGAGTGGACAAAAACTCATGCTGTGGCTTAAATCTGATCTAGTCTCACAGCAGTGGATGTTCATACACGAATTATGGTTAAATGAAAGGGTGCAAGAGGTTTTCAGTATGGTAAGGCACTCTTGCTGTGCGAGACGGCGTGGGTGCAGCGCTAAAACGATTGAGCGGTTTTTGGTAGAGACAGATATCTCAAGGTATTGCGCAAGACCTTTTTTGTGATCCTATTAGCATAGTCGAGCCAATTTCAACCAACGAATTTTGCCTTTTTTTTGATACTAAGGGCCTCCGTTGTTCAATCTTTTACAGAGCTCAATGTTCGATCCGATATGCAAGATATAGGAGATGGAAACTCAACGAAATTATCCCACGTTTGGGATCCGATCTCTCTTCTGACGAATACCCAGTGGGAAAGGAGGACATCAAAACACTGAAATCATTTGGTTGATTCAGGATATTGCCAGTCTATCCCCTTTGATTAGTATCAACTTTTAAATATCTGACAAGGCATTAATCAATTGTTTTTCAAAAATGATGTTAAGGTTACATCCTGTCGAGATATATGATGTAGTTTGGTACCATTCAAACATCGGACCTTGATCCGATCGACGTACGTGACCAGACACTCAGCCCTGAATTCAAGTCTAGTTTCCTTCCAGTACCAGACAAAAGAACACCCGCCGCTAAGCTTATATGGTTCCAGGCGACTGATCGCCTTGTAAGCAAAAAATTAGATTCATTGACGGTTCGACCAACTGTTGAATACCTCGGTGCCCGAGGTTGGACTATAGCACTGGTGTGCGGTTTATGGTCGCCAAAAACAACTCGGGACATGGAACTGACAATAGTTGGGTAGAGTGACACTTTTTGCAATGCAAGTCATTTAGACTAATACGTAAAATCTATCCCGCATCACTTTCAACACATGCTTATCGACGTTTACCATATACATGCCCCAAATGCTCAACCCATCCAAGAATCTCTATCAACTATGCAGGACTTGGAAAAAGGACTGGACCTCTATCATCAAAAGATCTTACGGTAGCTAAAACTGGTAAGGAGTATCAACCCACGTATCACGCTGAACAGGTATTGATCAGGCTATATCGACTGTGGATTGCATGCGTTCTTCAATTACAGTGGTGCTGTACAATTGACGCGAAACAGTTCTTTCGACATTCAGACAAAGCCAACAAGCCGAAAACCCATTGACCTAATAGTAGACGGTCAATGCAAGAACTACCTACTACCTACTACGTCTTTACGCAGACAATTCGAGCAAAACTGTAACTTATCGTATTCACTTGTCTGAGTACGGAATTCGGACGTTTCTACTTTCCCCAGGTTCCCCATCTTCGAGAACGACTAATCTGGCACCCAAGACTTTGGTGTTATTTTCCAATCCACTTTATTAGGCTTACATGTAACATGCCAGTCTTTACCCCGCGAAATTCCACATTTTTGGCCGAGGAGTTTTCAAGAAACGGCTGATAATCCGTTGCATCATCAAATCTTCCTATTATTTTTGGATCCCTTTCTTCCATAGCCAATTGCCATTCCTGTGCCTTCGAGCACTTGCAATTGTGTCGAAAATTGAAAGAACAGAACATTTTTCAGCAGACCACGAGCTTGTAGGTTAACCCACGGTCAGAAGACTTGACAGAAATTACATGTCAAAACCCATACCTTTCGTCTCTCAAAGATTCTGCCAAGTTTGTATCGAAGCCTTTTCGAGACCCTTCTCCGGGATGTAACTCCTCCAACTTCAATACCCCAGATCAATTGATGACGATGCGTGCTCACAGGGCGTTCAATTGGTGCATAGCTTCTTCACTGCCCTTGTCAGACAGCTGGGGCCCCTTATCAACACATGGGCCACCAATCCATCGAATCTTATTCCATACATTATTGCAGAAATCTAGCCCAACATTCTGCAGAATCCAAAAATCGCAGCATGTAGGTAGCGTATGATTTGGAAAGAAAGGCACAGGAACTCAGAAATAACCTTGCGGTGAACAGGCTTCGTTGTTAGTGTTCCGTGGGACCCGTTTATGATAATGGGAACGATTTTAATCCAATCCGTGTTGATCAACGTGGAGGTTGGTTCGTACGTTCGTTCGATCATGGAAAAGGCCGCTAAGAAGGCCAAGAGGGAAGTCCCTCCTCTTCGTTTTCGAAAGGAATGCATTTTGTCATTACTGGCACAGAATTGATGAGGAGCTTGAAAAATTATACCTCGGTGGGTTGCTAAAGAGGAAAGGTCTCAATTCAGATCGCTCGACTAAGGTCGATAGTACAAACCATCAAATGCGCCAATGAATGTACCGGTCAAATGAGGATCTTCTCGAGATTGGGGAAAACGCCACTGAACTAGCTTGGGAAACCACATTTGACAAGGATATTTTGGAATAGTGGTCATGCACCTAATAAAGTATGAGAATGCCTCTTGAGATATATGGAGATTAGCATGGCCTCTAGGGATAAGAAGGTAGAGATGCCCATGGTTTTCCTTCTTGTTGTTCCAGACTTCTTTAATTCGCTTCACTACATAAATCTTCCATTCTCACTGTAGGGCCCTAAAACCAGTCTTAACATCTCTCTTCTGTGTTTTCATCCCTACAACATGATTCAAGAATCCTCTCCTCCGAATCACTCTGACAATTCAATGTCAAACTCACTCGATAAGGACATTGGCCCTCTTGGGGCCAGTACAGCAGGCCATGTGGAAGTTGTTCGTACTGTTTCGAGAGTCCCAGGAAATGCGCATTACTACGAGAAAGATGGTGTGCGAACATATGGAGACGATGAAGACCATGATCAGGAACCACCGGTAGGCATGTAGAAGATATGTTTAAGAATTTGTGGCTAAGCAGTGCTTCATAGATGACTATGAATCGATTGATGTCTTTAGTTGCGATGGCTTTCTTATGGACAGGTTCCCAGATACCAGTATATCTTTTCGGTGAGTCATTATTTTACGTCAAAAACAGTTTCGATCTAATAGTAACTAGGTGGTATTCCACCATATATCTACGGCGATCTGGGTGGGTCAGACAGGTGGACTTGGTTTGTGTTATCCAATTTACTCGCTTTGGCAGCGGTTTGTCCATTTGTAGGAGCATTGTCAGATCTATTTGGAAGAAGGTACATTGCCATCGGTGGTGCTGGTTTGATTGTCATTGGAATGATCGTTTGTTCCACAGCACATTCCATGAACATTTTCATCGGTAGGTTTCATGCTGCAGATCAAATCACAATATGCTAAATATTACAGCTGGTATGGCTATCGCAGGCGCAGGCGCTGGTATAAATGAATTAACAGCACTTGCTGCGACCTCCGAACTTGCACCAACAGCAAAGCGTGGAAAATATGTTGCCGTCCTAATCTTCACTATTCTACCATTTACCCCATCTGTGCTCTGGGGTCAGTTGATCGCATCGCATTCCAGCTGGAGATATGTTGGACTGTTCTGTGGTCTCTGGGCATTCATGGGGCTCGTTATTACCGCAATATTTTACTTTCCACCTCCCCGAGTAAATTCTGAAGGCCTCTCACGCAAAGAGATTATATCTCAAATTGACTTTGTAGGCGGATTTCTCTCAATCGTTGGTCTGATTCTTTTCGTCGCTGGTCTTCTATGGGGTGGATATCAGGTAAGTACTCCTATCTTGACCCCTTTGTAAAATAAAAAGAAGCTCACCAACTAAATCCAGTATCCTTGGAGATCTGCACATGTACTTGTTCCACTCATCCTCGGTGTTGCATTCATCGTCGCCTTCTGTTTTTGGGAGGTCTATGGGACTAAAAATCCCATGTTTCCTTCTCGACTCCGAAAAGAACCGCGCATCTTAGCTCTCACCCTCGTCATCACCTTCATCTCGGGTGCAAACTTTTTCTCTGTCCTCCTTTTCTGGCCCACGCAAGCCTTCAATGTCTACGGACATGATCCAATTGGTGTCGGGATTCGAGGTCTTCCTGTTGGCTTTTCCATTCTCGTTGGAGCATGCGTTGTTCTTTGGCTCTTATCTGTCTTCCGCGGAGGAAACCGTATGCTCATGATTATTTCATCTTGCATGATGACCGCAGGATGCGGTGCCCTTGCTGCTGCTGACCGTAACAACATTAACGCGGTATATGGTATTCTCGTCGTAGCTGGCCTTGGAATTGGTGGTATCGTGGGTGCGTATTCGGCTTTCTTACTCAGTTTCCCCTAAAAGAGTTTCAGCGCATGATTACTGACTCTCAAATTTGAATGCAGTTCCCGCCTCAATTATCACCACTATCATTTGTCCCGATGACTTGATTGCCACAATCGCAGCACTCACACTCGCTATTCGTGTAGTTGGTGGAGCGATCGGTTACACAACCTATTATAACGTCTTTCTGACAAAGTTCATTCCCGAACTTTCCGTCAAAATTGCTCTTGCTTGTTACGCGAATGGCATTTTTGACCTAAAAATCATCAGCCATATTGCGGAATTAACCGGCGCAAGCCTTCTAGATGAAATCTTGCCGCTGGTGGGTAACAATGTTACGATCTGGAATGAAGTTGTACTTGCAGGCCAAGAAGCTTATGCTACTGCATACCCATGGGTATACTATGTCAGTATTGCTTTTGGAGCAGTTTCAATTCTTGCAAGTATCGGGTTGGGTGATATCAGTAAATACATGGATGATCATGTCGCAGTTGTTATGCATTGATTTCTCAAATATGTATATTATATGAGGGGTATATTCGGTTGATCAAGTGAGCGCCGGTATTAGGCTTCAGTATAGGGGAAACAGCACGATGCAAATGAGGTGTCAAAGGCTTATTTGTAAATAGCAATCAGGGCATTATTAGTGCTCGTATCATGACTCAATGGAAACGGTTCAATTAAAGAGCAAATTTCAAACGATAAATATTCAGTACTTTCTCTCCTTTCTTGTCAAGCGAGGAAATCGTGTACATTCTTTAACGCGATTGATTCATATTCCGGCATTTTCATCTCGGTACCCTTTACACCCTAATCATCCTTCAATGATTCCACTAGTGTACAAGCACCTGGATAGGTATTCAATTACCAAATCTGAAAAATCAAAGTCACGTGTATTTGAGCTCAATTGTTGGTCTCCAACACACACCACCTTTACTCCACTCCACTTCAATCTACACCACACCCAATATCGACATCAACTCCACTTACACATTCCAAGAAATGAAACTCTTACATGAAACAAGACATACATTCCCGAGGCAGAGGCCTTTCCATTCCTTTCCTTTCCTTTCCTTTCCTTTCCTTTTGCCCCCAAAATTTACATGAAGCCAAGGATAAGTGTGCTCTTAGAAGTTAGCGCTGGCGTGTTGGAAAGTTGGTGGAGATATGTAGGAGACTTCGGTTGGGTAGAAGTTGTAGGTAGGTACTAGGTAGGCAGAATTTTAATGGTGAATGGGGAAAGGGGAACGGGGAACGAGGAAAGAGTTAGTTGGGGATTGGAATGGATTTTGGATTTTGGAGTTGGAGTGTGGGGATTTTTTTGAAGGGGTGGAGGAGTGATTGATGATGTAAGAGGGGAGAAATGTGAGGGGGGCTCTGTTTTGTGTTGGAGGTGAGGTGGCTGCGGTGGAGTGGAGTTGAGTTGAGTTAGAATTGGATTGTAGCCTTGGATATGGAGGGGAGGAGCGCTGAAGAGTGGCCGTCAATTCGAATTGTGAGTTGGAATGTCAGTTTCACATCTGACAATTTGAGATTTTGTGTAAATCGGTCGATTTAGGACTTTTTGATTTACATTTTGAGGGAGAGATATTCAAGTATTGGAAGTTGTTTTTTGGGGGGAAAGAAAAAGGAATTACTGTTCTTGTTTTTGATCTGGAATATGTAGGAGCTTTAAAAATGCTTCACTGGGAATTTTCCTCTGCATTGAGTTAGATAGATGTTATCTCATAATATTACTGTTTGGTTAAATCTTGTGCACATTGTCAATTTTAGAAATTTGAGAGTTTCTAGCTTTATGATGTATATATACGGAATATGCTTTCTGGGAATGATTTCAATTTGGTATCAAGATGTAGATGTACCATGCCTCTTCCAAAACATGAGGAGAGTTCTTTCGAAAAGTATTTGTAAGGTTTGGGGGGACCTGAATAGGTTAAATATATCCCTTACTTTTCACTGAGAAATTCTCAACACTTGTTGATTAATTTCTGCTCAATCAGTAATTCCAAGAATCCCCCAAAGATGAAGAAACTTACTCTTTAGAAAAGACCTATATTATATATCAGCACAGTAGACCTATGAATTTTCTACTTTATGAACAAATGTGGTGCATTCGTACAAGCCACATATATCTGTAAACCCCAAGCTCTCACATCCTCTTCTCACAACAAGGCAGTCAAACAAATATTTGCATAGGCCGCGCTTGCGAAATGCAACAAAGAACTTGTTAGGCACGCTTGAGTTATAGATTCTTGGGATCAACTTTGTGAAGCCGCCCCCGCGGCATCGAATCCTGGGTGCGGCAGTGCTCTTTGGCGCCTAGGACGAGGAAAAGAAAAGAGGAGAAAAGGGTGCCTAAACACACTGTCTAGAAATGAGATATGCAACAAAATGTAACTTATGTTTGGGTACCATAAGGTGGATTGGGGAAAAATAATTTGTGATTAAGATGTTATTTGTAGGTATTGTTTGGGATGCCGTCGCTTATTTGTTTTGGGTCATTGCGTGGAGTCTATTTTTCCCCCTCAATTCCTAGCTCGCAGCTTTTATCCGTCCGCCCAGGTTCATTGTTATGTCCGGCTTCAACGTCCCCCAAATTGTTCTACATAGTATTTGTACTTCACAACCTCATACCTCACAAACTCGCCACTCTTCATCCTTACTCCTATCATCACTTTCCTGAATCTGTCAGATTCAATCGCAACTCCGCCTATATGACCATTAATATGTGATCCCCGTATAGATTTCGAGTCCCTATAAGTCTCTAATTGTTCCCTGCTAAAGCATCTCAGTTCTTCATTCAATAGCTCAGCCGTAAGATCAGAACCCTTTCCATGATTATCATTGATTCCATCTAGAACGAGCAGAAACTTCATCCCGAGATCCTTGTGCTCGAATCCTCTATGGGCCATAGGATTGAAGAATTGATGATTAGTAGAATTTTGATGGGCTTGAAAGTAATCCCACATGTGAGGAAATGAGATGATGCATTTTACTTTGACCCAGCCGGCACATAGATTTGCTTCTTCGGAAGATCTTATATGTGAGGCTTTGAACCATGATGCTGTGTGTTCCCCCGGATTTTGGAATGTGTATATAGGCTTGGTTTTTCCGAGGGGATCGTCTACGCCTGTGGTGAAGAAGTGCAAATTCTCAGCGTGTTTTGATTCTTCCGTTATATAGATAGAGACCGAGGATGCTTGTGGAGTAACTTCTAAGCAAAATTTGCGGAAACAAATCTTCATGATAGGCGACCTGTCGAGAGCATCCTGAACAGTTATTGGGACGCTTTGTCTTTTGGAATCGAGAGGTTGAAATAGTGGTCTGGGGATGGCGGAAGGCTTAGAAGAATCGGTCCAAAGATAGGCCTACACCATGATTAGTATGGATGAAACTGAATCAAATTGAATTTCATGAGAATGGTGTGACTTACACATGTTGGAATTTGACCGATTTTGATAAACAACCGATAGAAACATGTTGTGTTATAACCTAGATCCGAAATCAACCTTGACGTTGTACGTGCTATATCATTCGGGGGTATCCCGTCCTGAGGATTCGCTATTTGCATCCACTTTGATTGTATGGACGATAGACTCTCACCAGCCTTAACAAAAGACATTAAATTTGCTAGCTCACCGTTGTATAATGAAGGTAGACACCCTTCGGCTGCTAAAAAGGAGTATTTAGCAATCAAGGTCTTTCGAGCCTCTGGTCCGAGATTGTCCCGGACTTTTATAGAAATGGCAACGTTCTTTAGCCACGAAATCCATGGCTGGTATAATTTGGCATGAGGTAACAAATCGTTCATTAACAATGCGTGTGTCTGGGAGATTGTCTTCTCGTTATTATCCTCAAGTATTCTCTCTAGAACTTCAGCGAGATGCTCCGATTCCGTTGGTCCATGATAAGCTCGAACATGACCCAGAATACTCACGTCCATGTGGTCGTACGTATCAAAATTTCCAGATTTGCGTGCGTAGTAGGTTAACCATTGTTGAGCAGTCTCGAGGTGACTCCGAAACTCATCTCCAAGTGGACGCCCCACGAATAACTTCCTCACATTGGCTACTGCTTGTCTGTAATAGTCCGGGACGATATCTTCGCCGGGCCAGATAAATGGCACGAGTGTTCCATCATCGGAAAGATGGCAAAGATTGCCGAAATCTCTGATGAACGTCTCGCATATCGCGCAGGACATCATTCGACGTTTATTTGGTAAGCCGCGGGAAAACATTTCGTAGATGATGTTCATTCCGAAGTCCCTACCTGTTGGATCCGAGAGTCTAAGATCTGCATGGAATAGGGGTCCTCCTCTGTTTCTTTCGTTTTGGTGGACGGTTAGTTGCATTGCTGCTACTAGAGGTTGGATTGCGCGATCATCTGCGCTCAGTTCGGAGATATGATATCCATCTGGAAGATCTATGATCTCAAACTCTTCCTCCATCTTGACACAGCTTGCCATTTCTACCGTCATGAATTTCATTATTTGGGGATAACATTGAAGCCTTTTAATAGAATTAATTCCTGAAAGACACCATGGTACAGCCAGCAAAGAGTGTGCCGTAGAGAGCTGCTCTACGGTTCCATCGCACTTGACGCAACAAACATCTTTCAATGTTGATGTATTAGCCCATAATGAATATGTAGAAGCAGTTTGAATACGCTTTTATTCAGTTCTGAAGGAGTTCTTGAGACTATCACAATGAAAAAGCTCCCTTTAGCGCTCTCAAAGTTGGTCCTTCGCCCATACAAGCGAAGTATATCGCACTCCAAGCTAAGCACACATCCATCTCACCTTATTATTTTGACATGGCATATAAAAAAACTCATATAGTATCATGGATATGTCTGTTCGATTGCTATAAGCCCCTCTCTTATTGCAAGCCTCGCAATGAGTAAGTAAACGTAAAAGTGATAGGAACTTAAGAGCACGTGTTAGTAACGTGATCGGCTGTAGAATGTTTCCTCGATCATGACAATCTCGGCTACTGAAGAAATTATTGGTGGTCCACAGCTACTCTTCCGGATCTATCGATGTTTTGTTGTTGTTGATTGGTGATAATACAATGATGTGATAGATAGTCTCTTGGAATATGTACTGAACATACAGCCCCTTGAAAGCAGAAGCCATTCACATCATTTCCACGTGCGATTCCCGTATTTTAGTGGAGTCGCGGATGTGGAACGGAATATACCCTAAATGAAATTTGTGATATCTCGTGCATTTATTATTATTAAATCATCTAAAAATATATATAGTTTCGATTATGGTTAAGGTTAAAGTTATGGGCAATGATAATTTGTTCTCGCACGAGAAAGTCGAACCCACCCGGGGACCTCGGGGACTTCCAATGTTAATATACTGTGAAGAAGCCAAGAAATTTCAAGACGATCTTTTTGACAGTCAAATAAGCTAGCAGAAGTGGCAAATGTACAATATATTTAGGTAACTTACCAGTCTGAGGAATGCGGGCAACTGAATGCAGGTAATCAGATCCAAATGGATTGATTAAGTGCTCTGCGACTCTCGAGCGAACAATTTGTCCTGCCAGTACAGGGGTTTTGACCGGATACGGCGTCAAACTATCATCGTTGAAAGCTTGAAGCATGGCAAGCAAGCATTCCCGGCGCTTAAAATTGTGAATTACGCTCAATTGACCCAACGATCTATGATTCCCCATATCCACTTTACCGGATGTAGTGCGTGATGGCTTGAAACCACTACGGCTCTTAGTACTGAAGTCATCCCACTGTTGAATTTCCAACGACTAGCATGTCTCATTCTCCAATAGGTGAAATTAATCTGGTATGGCGAAATTATTCAATGGCTTCAATTATCAGTATCATGTCCAGAATTGTTGATTCTCCAATTAAAAGAAGACGGAGCCGAGTTCCCATCACTATTGCGATGATTATTGTATGCTCCCAGCCAAGAACTTTTTCCTTGACTGAGCCATAGGAGTTGTTGGGGTCCGTAACACTTCTTGAAATATCTCGTTTATTTTTTGACGAGTATCCTTGGACAAGGTCCACATATGATCCAAGCTGTTGAGAAGCGCTCAAAGTGATCAACTATGTGGGTCGTTGATAGGGAAAGGATATCAAGGATATCACGGTCGCTCGCCCTTCTCATTGTATCCTCGCTTCTGAGCTTTGTCGAAGGAATTCGTTTTATGAATACCTCCCCTTCCCTTTTCTTCGGAAGTCCCCATGCAAAGTTTCAACTTACGTGATGACCTGATGTCTGGACACAGCGAGTTGGAGGTTGTTAATCAACCTTTCGAATATTATGGTCCACAGCAGCATGATAAATTTAGTCCAGTGGTTGACGGCAACAGACAAATAGATGAGAATGGGCGCCCATACTATCAAGAAGAGACGAAGTTCATAGGAATGCCAGTGTTCCCCGCGGAACTTCCGTTCGATAGTTACAACCAATCCCCAATCGCACTGTCACACAGGACATCATCAAATCTATCAGCCCAACAATATAGCGCTTGCTCGGAGGCTCCATCATCACCGGCACTACACAATGCACTTTTGATCCAACAGCCAGTGTCGACGGAGAAAGAAGCAATAGTGTATACAGAGGATACGCAGAGGAAACGAAAAGTGTGGAAATGGTATATCTTAGCCGGTGTCATTGCATTGATCGTAATCATAGGGGCAGTGGTTGGAGGAGTTGTTGCATCTAAGAAGAAGAACGTAGCTACTGTCGATCGGATACCCGGTAGCACGGAATCTTCCAACAGCTCATCACCCACGACTTCGTTGACGAATCCACCGTCAAGTAATTCACCCCCCTCAACGATCACTGCATCGTTGGCGAGCTCTACCGTTGCTCCATTCCAAAGAAATGTTGCCGCAATATCCTACCAGTCCAACAATGTCAATAACTCTAGAGTGTATTATCAAGACAACCAAGGCAATATACTGGAAGCACATAACAGTGCATCGAGTGGGAACTGGTCGATAAGTTCAGTTGTTACCGCGAAAAATGGTTCATCGTTTGCTGCCGCTGTCACAATGCCTCAAAATGATTTCGTAGGTTGCTATATTTCCGGTAGCAAAGTATCTACTAACAGGGACACAGGAAATCACTGTGTTGTACTCAGATTCTAACAATCTTCTTCACGACATCATATACGATGCCGCTTCAAACTCATGGAAGGAAGGAACCTTGTCGTCCGAGAAGTACATCATCTCCGAGAATTCAAGTGTTGCGATTATGTACTGGCAATGCAAATTATGCAGCAATACCACCATCATCGCTTTTCAAGATGCGAACAACAAAATGCAGGTTGGAAATCTGACTGCCTCGGGCTGGGATTTAACCCAAATCATGGTTGACGTTGTAGATAACACTGGTCTTGCGTTGCAGCCATTTTACCGTCTGAATGAAGCAGATCAAATAAACTTGTACTATCAAAATCCAAGTAGCGTCATGACTATTTCAGCTTGGGAGTATCCCAGTAAGTTTCCTATAGAATTGTTTTCATATATTTCAGACTAATGAGACCCTTTAGCTCAAGCTTGGAAGTTGGATGCCGCATCGTACTATTCCTTCACATTCAACATGCCAATCGCATCATCTGCATCTTACTCACGTGTTGACTTTACTGGCGACGTGGAAACCGGTTTCGAAACCTGGGGAGAAACGCTCGTACTATCGCGTACTGGGATCAAAACAAACACGTATTCGGGAAATATAAATGGTTGGTCAGCGATGGGATCTCATCCATCCGCAATGGCAAACTCGACACAAAATCCGAAAGTATTCAAATCCATAGCAGTTACAGCGATTGGAGCTGCGTTTGCGGTTGTGGAAATTGATGGGAAAGCAGATGAGATCGAAGCGTATCAAGTGAAAGATGACGCGATAAATTGGGACACGGCTGGGACCGTCGATATCGGCGATGTCTGGGGGTAAATGAAATAAATATAATGTATGTGTTTATCACGGGAATTCTTGTACATAAATTGAATTCGAGGGTCCGGTGCCCTTTCTTTCTTAGGCTCTTATTGCCTTGAATTTTCATGTCAATGGTTAGATGTCCACTTCTTTCTTTGATTTTCAATGTTTGTATTAAGGAAAATCGCAATCATGAATGAATGGTCGTAGCCTGGTGTAAGCTGATTTCTTCGTTTGCATCACCGAGTCTATAAGCTGCATCACACCCTTGCAACCACCTACCAACTCGACAACGCCCTTTTTGCAGAGCTTGTATGTAGCTTTAAAGCAGCGTAAAAAATCTCTCTCATCATTATATGTTATGGCCTGCCCTCACCAAGATTCTACGCCAGAAATTACCTCGTTTTCTTTCGAAATCTTATCCGGCTTCATATTTTCACCGCCGCTCTTTCAGAACTTCGATATCATCCAACCTTCTCGACGCCTTGCATAAAAGATGGACGCTAGCTACAACCTATCACCCGAAGACATCAGCGACGAATCCTGGCAAGAATTTGTTGATTGGGATGCCGCAAATCCAGTTGACATGGGCACAGAGTGAGTTGGCTTAAAAAAAAATGCTAACTCATAGAAAAAGGGCTGGGCACTCGACAGGCTCGCTAAGTATCGAATTGTCAGAAGAAAATCCTCGCTTGGAACAATATTTACTGTATATACAAATTGCCTCTTGACATATGGTTTGGCTTTGCTCACAAACAGCAGCCAATACAAATATGGGGACGGGCACGCATACCCCAACACAACCTGCGCTACTTGCTCATCAGAACTTGATATATCGGAACTTGCACTTTTTACAGAAAACCGAAATGTCTATTGTAGTAAAGGCAAGGCTGATAATCATCCTCCACTATCCTGTGTGCTAGGTTGTGGGTTGAACTTTCATACCTTCAAAGATCTCAAGGAGCATTGCATGATCGCTGATCATGAAGCCCTCCATTGTCCCATCCCAGGCTGCTCCAGTGCATGGAGTGGTTATAATCAAGGTAAAGCTCATTTGGAGAGATGCCATGGAATAAGCCAATTCGCATGCTACCAGTGTGGAGACTTATTCTGCAATACGACGCAGCTCGACAATCATGCCTCTGTTAGCGGACATTCTGCATATATTTGTCGATATCCTGATTGCGAGTCAACAGCTGGGAGACTTAGTGACTTGATTCGGCACCAGGCATGTCACAAGGCAGATGTTCCCCGTCATCCATGTCCCCATTGCCGCACGTAAGTACACTCCCATCATTCAGGTACAAGATCGTTAGAGTCGCTGATTGACCCACTTAGATATCGAGGTAGGAACGGGTTCAAGAGAAAGGACCACCTTAGACAGCACATCAGAAATTACCACAAGATTGAGATCAATCACACTGGCAACATATATGAGTCTCCATTTCTCTGCACATATGCCAATTGTCAAGACTATGATGCGATGTATAGACAAGATCTTAGATCTCTCGACGATCTCACCCAGCACATGCTGACCGAGCACAACTCCTCTGCATTTTTCTGCAATAAAGTGTCCTGCGATAGAGTAGGACCTAACGGTTTCGACACGAAAAAGCTTCTTCAAGATCATATCAAGAAAGAACACCCTTCACCATTTCAGTGCACTCATCCGGGGTGTGATCGGGTCGGTTCTAAAGGCTGGCTTCGAGAAAGAGACCAGAAGAAGCATATGTTGCAAAAGCATGGAATCAGCCATTAAAACTGATGAGGAATGGATCAAGTTTGTCTTCTTTATTCTAGCAACACTCGCATATCGACGGCTGTCTGGGGATAACTGTTTTTGATGTTCGTCTTTGTCTTGTTTCATTTGTTACTCACTCGAGTCTCTCTTTGATGTTTCGTATCTTATTTATTTCATTATATCGGAACTTGCGTTACTCTTCCAATAAATCGAAACATAAAAACAGAGGAGGGAGGTCTGACTTGGCAAAGCAATGAAGGAGGGAAACAGAAACACTTGAGATGTTTTTCTTGTTGTTTTTCCTTGTACTTTTTGTCTTTTATTATGGTTTTGCTATGTTACATTGTCTTTTGTCATGGAATTGTTGCCTATTAGATAGGATACAGTGACCTTTACAATTACTACAGCTTTCCTTTATTACTGAGCATCAAAGCCCTCTTACACTGTACCATCTAATCGTTCAACTTCATGCCGCACACCATTTTCAGAACCTTGCACTCACTCTTGTGACCTTGTTCATTCCATCCTTTAGTCTGACATTCCTGTATTCGTAGTCAGCCCATCAACCACTCAGAAACGAATCTTTCCAGACATGAAAACCTACCTTGCCACAATACCAAACTTCGCTGCAACCTTTACATCTTGAAAGCCGCTCCTCATTATCTTTCCTCTCACACGATTGACATGTCACCAGATCCACTCGGCTGTCTTCTTCAAAACTTTCACGAGCTTTAATAAATCTCTCACTCATTCCTAAGAGTTTATCCAAAGAGGATGGTATGATCTACATTTCTTCATCAGCCTTGAATCAGGTCTTCAATACGCAAAAATAACTCACAGTAAGATCAGCCCACACACACCTGATGTACCCCTGTTTTCCTTCTCTGACCCCATGCCTCCTCGGGTTCGGCACCACAACTGTGTGTCCTTTCTTCAATTTCTTGATATCGAAATCATTTCCATCTCCACTAATGTTCCCGTTTCCGCTTCCCTCCAATTGCGCAGGCGTCAATGGCGCCTCGAGAATAATCGTTAGCGCGAACGACGCGCTAGCAGAATCTGTACATATAAAAGTTGGTGTGGTGGAAAGCGTCATATTCTGGGAAATGGTTGCTAAAAGATATGTTTCTCGGGGGGTTCCGGGTGAAGTCTCATTAGGGGATGCAGTGGAGGAGGGATCGGCGGTGGGGTTGAGAGGACAGGTGGAGAACGTTAGGAAGGCGGGGGAGAGGAGGTTGGGGAAGTCGGGGGACATTTTGAGGAGAATTGATGTCGGGACGTGATTGTCGAGTTGAATTGGTGAATAGTCAAGTTAGGATGAGGATGGGAGGGGATTTCTGAGATAGATGATGGCGAGATGATTGACGAGAATTTTGGGATGAAACACAACATGAAACGTGCTGATATGAAGGAGCTCAACCCTCAGGTATTTTGGCACCTCATTCGATTTTTCTTGTTCAATTGGTTGAAGATCTGTTACAGATGCCCAATCTAATCACGGACATGAGAAGACTGGACGAATAGTATCTCGTATCAACGATGATTGAAGAGATCATTCTCTTCACATGCTAATCACGTGTCGTACTGAAGGTCGTTATCATGAAGTGGAGTGGATAGGTTTTGATTTGACATGCAAAGCAAGTCGAATACAGTAAGTTGAGTTGTTCAATGTAACGGGGGGTGGTAGATCCCTCCTGCTTTACGACTGGGCGGGAAACATCTCTCCACCTTACTAATAGTATGGCCACTCATCATTCCACCACGGAGACTCACCGGTAATCACCAAATTTTCGGTGGAGCAGCGGATCGAGTCAGTCGTCATACATGCATAAACATGATAATGACAGTGTACGACCCAGTTCTGATATTTGAGAATCAATCCCACTCACGTTTCTACAATTTCGACGAAGTTGTTTCCAAGAGACAAGAAAGAGATATCAAGATGTCTGCGGATTCAATCACCTCTACCCGAAGCGGGATCCCTCCCATCCTCAAATGCCCATTCGAGATTAGGCTAATGATCTACCGAATCCTCATTCCTTCAATTGACCCTTCGGCAGACTTCGACTGGACATCGGCTTGGGATCCAAACCACCCGAAATCTCGCTGCGAAGAGCATAAACTCTACTCACCGCCGATCCTTCACACAAACCAAATGATCTATCGAGAAGTCTTGAACGAACTATATTGTTTCTTACCTTATCGGACATCCATCAGCAACTATGGAATTCGATTCTTGGGCTACACATTCATAAAGCCGCCCCCAGCTTTTCAATACGTACACACCTTGGATCTCACGATTCAAATCAACAGCTACTCTCACGCAAAGATTGCCAACATTTTGAAATCTTGCGTGGAGACTAGCTGCGCAAACGGACACTTACGTCGATTACAAATTGGTCTCTCCTTTAGCTTACAAAGTTTTCAATCGAATAGGGGGAATTCTGGTGATCTTCGAAAAATGCTTGAGAAGAATCTGTATCCTTTACGGAGGAACCTTCGCCGTCTCAATCAATTCGTTGTCAGGAGAGTATCTGCTAAAGATATTTCAAGTTCCAATCGAAGTGTTTCGGGTTCATTCCTGGTACAGAGAGAAGAGTTTTTGGATACCGTTCAGGGGTTTTTGAATCAGTTAGCAAGGGAGGTGATGGATCGGTGTAATCCTGCCAAGACAACTGAGTGCAATTGCAAGTCGTATGCTTTGCTTCAGAGATGAGGGGGGTGATGTGGAATATTTCGATGAAATTTCGTCTTGTTTCGCTTATTATGGAAAACTTCTATCCGTATTGGAACTTTCAACCATCGGACGACTGTTGGAGGATGAGAACTCTGGGACCTCAAATGTTGGATTCTTCTCTGCATCTCTACACATACTATATTTCGGATCAATCCTACATCAAGCATTCCGATGAATGCCACCGCACGTCATGTCCGAAAGATACAATTGCTTGTTTCAATGGAGCATACTTCCGAACATGGAAAGCTATCATATCCCAACATATCTCTGAGATAAGCATTCTACGCTACGCGTATGCCTCGACTCGGTGGAGACGAGAGATGTCTCATCTTATTCACAAAGATGCAAACAAGAAAGAAAACTCATAGACAATACAATTTGAAGCACCATCTTGATGTGTTTCGAAAAGATCCGAGAGCGGGTGAAGGATTTCGAGTTACCACAGAGGAAGGACAATGGACGACGCACGCGGGGGAGGGGGGATTTAGTTGATTTGAGTTTGAAACAAATTTTCTTTGAGGAGCTTATCAAATAGAATGGATAGAAAGTTTCAATAGATTGTCTGGTATTTTTGTGTTAGTGATATTCTGAATTTTTTCCAAGCTTTACAACATTGAATTTCGTTCTCCCAAATGTCCGGGTCATCCACGTGATATGTAAGGTTAAAAAGGCCCCGGCTTCATACGCGCCACGCTCGAGGGCTACACCACCTCTGGTCTTGGTAGTATCAACAATCAGCCTAATCCAAGCTCTTCTCTGATCAAACAACACCATTGTTCTTTCATGGATGCAGACTGCGTGTTTATTCGAAGTGGCCCGACCGTTGAGATTATGTCCGAAATCTGTGAAACTTCTACAGGAAAAATCCATCTGCACGGTGCTCGGTGTTTCCAATGAGACGACATTTGATCCTTACGTCAAACCATAGCCTCTTTTACGCGCTTTAGATGTCAGCAATCACTTCAAACATGGTTTTGTACCTCATGACTATAAGTTTATATCGGGTCACAGCGGGGTTCATGAGAGGCAAGATAGTTCCCACGAAATGGAATACCTTTTACCCATGAAGGTCACAATAGCTTCACGTTCGCACCAGCGTTCAGACCCTCAATTAGCCGTCTGATCAATTCACCCCTGTTTGAATGTTGGACTGCATCTAGGCTGCACAATACGTATAGATGATGTGGAACATACTGCATTGAGAAATATCCCCCAAGCGTCTGTTGTTACCACACATAAAGACAGTGGTACCCCGTCAAAAGTGATGATGGCTTCCCCGTTTCCCTATCTCGTTTTGTTACATTTGCGGTACAGATGTATTTCCTTCTTTATGCTAATATATGCATTAGCATTTTCCTGTCATGCACTAATGGTATGTTTAAATGCATCGAAACCTACTTTCATTTAGCTCCGACTAACGCTTCTATAGCATTGATATTTCCCAATGTAAACACTCGTGGGTACAATAGCACGAGATCCAATGGCACGAGATCTGATGGCATGAGATCTGGCAATAGCCTCAGAATTGTAAGCCTCCTGTTCAAGATATTTGTCATGATGTATCCCTTTTTTGACTCGAGTCGTCGGTCTCTCCTTTGATTCTTTTGTTTCCAATCCTTCCGCGTGCTGACTCTCGTAGCAACCTCTCGGCAACTCCATAACATATGGCTTCTTATCTAGTGATGGGAATGGTTTTCGCCTTGGCCTTCGTAATCTACTCACATCTGCTGGAAATACCGTTCAATATGTGGGCTCAGTCCGAGCAGGCAACATGAGTGACAATTTCAATGAGGGTCATCCAGGAGCCATTATCTCTGAAATTGCCGAATATGCAAAATTATCTCTTCCCGAGGATCCAAATCTGGTTTTGCTTATGGCTGGCACGAATGACATGAACAATTTCAACAATGTCACCACGGCTCCAGATCGACTCAGTGGACTCATCGATGAGATTACTTCGGCAGTTCCAAATGTTACTCTCATAGTTGCTCAGCTCACCCCCGCTTCAAACACTACCGTAGATGCCGCGATGGTCGCTTTCAATTCTAAGATACCGGATATCGTTGCATCTAAAGTGTCCGCTGGTCAAAAGGTTTCCACCGTCAACATGATGGACTATGTCACTGTGAATGACTTGGTAGATGGACTTCATCCAACAGATTATGGATATCAACAAATGGCAAAAGCATGGTTCGCTGGAATTCAGCAAGTGCAGAAGAATGGGTGGATAGATTCTCCAATTCCCACTAACGTCACGCTGGCTCTTCAAACGGCGGTCGCAGCTAGTACTGGTACAAGTACTAGCAGCACTCCCAGCGCCAGCTCCACTAGTACCCAAACCACTAGCATAACTATGGCTATTAGCAGTGGCATGGCCTCTTCTAAAACAGCTTCGGACCGAAATTTGCGTAGCACCTCATTTAGCACCGTATCTCTTTTGGTTTTGGCCAGCTACTTTTTGTACGCCTGAAAACTCTGGGTAATTACTTTAATGTCAAAGGTTTCCCCCTGATTAGGGTTGAATTTAGGAGGCAACGTCTAGAGATAGTTTCCAGCTATGAGATCATTTCTGTCACTCATGAATCTCGGACACAATCAGGAGTTACAGATCCTGTCTAGCTTTTCACGAAGAGACGGGTTGATACAGGTAGCACAGCTAGCGAGGCTTTGGCTCAATTGATTGGACGAAGACACGCTCAGGTGTATAACCGAAAGCTTGATCATCTCAAGAATGAAAGAGAAAGATCAGCTAGACTCAGTGGGAGATACCCACGCGCAAGAATCTTTGTATACACAAGTATTAATTAATTGATAATTTTTTCCCTTCTCAGTTTGCTCACTTTAACTTGAGGAATTGTAAGGGTTTACGGTTTTCAGGGGTAGAGTATTCGGGGAAATGTTTTTAGGCTCAATATAGAAAGATGAGGAGAGGAGTGGTATCTCAAGCACATATGCTCCAAGGGGTCTCAGGTACGAACATGGCTAATTGTCCCTGGTGGGGTATATACTTGTATGTTGCCCAGTACTATGATATGTAGTTCATGGATGGTAGGTTATCTTCCTTCAATCATAATTTGCTTGATAAATCAATTTTGAGTCTTGAAAACCAAGTGAAAATCATCTCTACTCGAGACAAAACCTTGCTTGAAATGAGTTCAATTTTCACAACACCGTAGCCCGTCGATTAGGATTGCAACCTGGGCTGTCAAGAACATTGTTTGCAAGTCTCTGTTAGTTGTGTGATGAATCATGACTAGAAACGCCTAGACGAGCACGAGTGAGATACAGCCAGAAAAGTTGAATCAATTCCATCATCTTCCCCCAAAGCTCTAGATTATTCTCAAAGTACAATCATCGCAACTCATTTTCCTCCAGCTCCAGCCCTCGCTTCAGCCAAATCGTTTATCCGCCTCGCTTCCGCTTCCCTCACCGCCTGCTCGTGAAACCTAGCTCGCACATCCTCCACCACTCCCTCTGCATCTAGCCTCTCCAGCTCATCCGTATCATGATCGTCTATCCACGCTGTCATAAGCTCATCCTCAATCCGCTTAATCACATCTGCCTCTTGTCTCTCCGCGAATTCCGTCTCCAGGCCTCCTTGATCCAGATCCCTCAATCGATTCTCATCGAACCTATGTTCCAAAACCTCTTTTCCCGCCCAAGCGGGTAATTTTCGATACATCAATCCTACTCTACCTTCATAAGCATCTTTAAGCTTGAGATAAAGTTCTCCAGAAAAAGGTCTTTCATCGATTTCAGCTGTGAGCGTTCCTCTCAAAATCTGATCCAGATCCTCACTCAGATGACTCTCAATCGGATCAACAACCAACAATTCTCCCTTCTCCTTATCCAAAGTCCCCAGAATAACACCCGTACGCGCTAACTCATACGCCACAGCAGTCAACCACCAAACCTCTCCCTTCTTTTTCCTCTCCTGGGGTTCCCATTCCTCATCCTCCGGATTCGGCTCATCATACTCCTCAAGATTAGGCACGTGTCCCCCAGGGGGCTCCGTAAACGCAACCCCAAAATCCCCAATCTTCACATGCGGATACCCATTTTCTTTATCCGGTCCCCACTGCAAAAATACATTCCCCGATTGAATATCATTTTGAAAAATGACATCGCGCCCCTTATGCTCACTTTTCGACATAAAATCCGGATGTTCATTATGCAGAAAGGCGACCGCGCTAACTAACTCATAAAAAATCTGCCAGATAAATAATTCTGGTGGTTTAACACTGTGAGTACGAAATGCTTTTGCCAAGTTGGTTAAACTACCCGCATCGCAGTATTCGAAATAGAGTCCCATGACGGGTTTGTCATATCCATATTCAGGTATGTATTGAACGAATGCTTCGAGATTGCAGATATGTGGATGACCGCCTCGGATGAAGCGGAGATAGATGCGTGTTTCGGAGTCCCGCTTCGCGCGGAGACTGAGTCTTTCGACTGATTGGGAAGAACTCTTCGTGGCTTCGCTGCTGGGTGTGAGAGGGGGTATAAGAGCACCTTCCGGGAACTCCAATTCGAATTTGTCGAGATTCCATTGGAGCTTTAAGGCGTAGGGCTTTTTCGTTTCGGAATTGACGACCTTTAGAACAACACCGAATCCACCACTTGCAATGTGCCCTTCGAAATCGTGATTATCTCGATTGAAACCGGGGTCGTCTCTCCATTTATTGCGTCGAATAGTTATGTTCTTCTTCCGGAGAGCTTTAATATATACCACTGCGGCCGTGTCAAATGCAAGTGCTCCAGGTTGCGACATTGTGTTTCTGTGTCTAGCTAATAGATTCTAGGGTCAATATCATTCAGCGGACTGGAAGCTTAGGAAATAATTTTCGAAGCATCAGTGTACCAATGGTCCAAAGCATCAAAGAAAAGTCGGCTTCCCAAAACAGATTTCTTTGTCCTTGAAGTTGAGCTTCGATGGAAACTAAAACGACACAATGACGACCGAGGTGTACTGTAATTACTGTACACATTGCACAGAAAGGCTTTGAAGCACGGAGCTACCGTTTAAAGCTTCGAGGAAAGAGAGATATTGCATTTGACACGCTAAGCAAATTTCAAACACTCTGGCTATCAAAATCGTCCCGCGGCTGTATTGGTGACCTATTCAAGATCCGAATCGGAAAATCTTAATTGAAATTATTCTGTCCTGGTATCTCCCATCCTGTCATTTCTCCTTTTCTGCAACCAGCGCCAAGCCATGAATGTTACCAGGAAGAAGCACACTAGCATCCCTAGATTGTAAGGACTTTTGACATCGGCTTCTTCTAGTCATACACTCTCTTTATTCCCAATTCGTGGAATTCTACTGATGAGGTACTGTTCAAGATCATCAATCTCCGTAACATCGGCTGAATGCACGAGACCTCTATGATAGAGTTAGCATGAAACCTTATAAAAGAACGAATCTTAGAAATGCACATACGGATACATCTTCAATTCAACATCATAGCCTTCATCCCGTAGCACCTCTGCCGTCTTGCGACCCCATGCTGGTTTAACAAGAGGATCAGCATCTCCATGGCCCATCCAAATCTTGGTTTGCTTGTTGGAGCCTCCATCTGGGCCCAAAATTTCCCGAAGCTTGTTATGTAATAACAGATAACAACTCATACCAAAGATACCCCCGAGTGGTGTTGGACATGTAATGCCGGAGAAAATAGACATTGCGCCTCCTTGGGAGAAGCCGCCGATCACAATGCGGTTGGATGGAATCTTGCTATCTTCGATTTCGGATTTGATGAGCGAGTGGAAGTAAGCTTGGGAGCGTCGAATTCCAGCCTCATCTTGCTCGGCCTGGAGGTCACTAAAGGTTGTCTTCATTAAAGGTGGTCAGCGGAATCCTTCTGTAAAACAGAGGTGTAGTATAAATGCAAAGACGAACGGAGTCAGTGCGTCTTACAATATCATACCAACCAGGCATCTTCATGCCAAAGTTCTGAACGATTTATTAGCACAGATACTCCGTTCCGAATGATTCGTTTGTCATACAACTGAGATGGGAATGGCTGGCGCATTTGGAAATATGAATTTGACCTCTTGGAACTTTGAGCGACGACGCCAGTTCTCTGCGAGCGAAATCCATCCAGCACCACTATCACCAAGACCATGAGCCATGATGATAGTTGCAGTGTGCTTCGTGACCGCGGGGATAGTGAGAGCTGATGGTGGAGACATTTTATGAATTGTGACCTTTGTAGATCTTGTATGGAAAAGAAGGTATTTAAAATATCAGGAGGTACCCAAAGATGCGCTTCTATATTCTCTCAGATCTGCCAATAAACAAAAGTTAGAGAGGAGGTTCCCGGTTAGTTCAGATTGTTTGTGTTTAGCAATTAAAGTAAAGTAATAAGCCTCCGAGCTCTGCTCAGTGCTCTCCCCGCCTTATCGCGCTAAATTCTTCAAGTCAATAGTGGTGGTGCACGGATTGGTGAAACTCTTCTAAGATTTGAATGGGAAAAATTCACAATTAATGCGAATATCATTGAATTTTGATTAAAACCTACTATATAATCATATGATCTATAATAAGTCTCTTGACAAAGTCTCAAAGCTCTCGAAGCAATTGCGCAAAAGCTTTCCTCAAATTCAAGATTTTCATCATCTCATGAATCCCTGCGTCCACTGTTGAGCAAACCCTTGCATGTCTCTTATCTTGAATATCAATAGTCGGTAGGTATCTTTATCAAAAACTATCCTGTTTTATTGGTTGTCAACACGCGCATACATAACTCGTAAAACATTATGTTAATAACATTTTGAATTGTTAAAAGTCCTGTCCTATTGTGCGGCCTCGATAATTTGTAGGCCTCTCATAATACTTGGATGTGCCTGACCTCTCAACGATTCCCTTCAAGCTTCACTTCGATTCTGTAAACAAAGCGGGTATGATCATGGCACCACCGACATCTCGACCACGATCCCCCTCGCAACGTCCCCTCCCCGGATCTCCAACTTATTCATATGCTTCCACACTTCCCCTCGCATCCACATTTTCCCTTGGGCTCCCACCTCCACCCGTTCCTCATCCACCCCACGCCGTCCTTACGAAAGCCGACCTAGAACTTTCCCAAATCGCCTATTCCGAACTCATTAGCACCGCCAAAAGCTACCGACTAGCTCTCGCAGAGCTAAGCTCTTCTGCATCCGCTTTTGGAAGTGCTTTGGAAGCATGTGCACGATTAAAAGAAGCAAGATCCGAAGCCTTGGCTCCCCCTGGTGGCAGTCTCAGCAACAGTTTCACGGCCAAAGGGAATTGTACTGGAGATAACTTAATGTCTGCTAGTGGGGTACACCAGTTGATAGCGAACCATCAGCAAATACTTTCAGAATGTGTATATCGATCATTTGAGGTGCCTTTGCTGCATGAACTAGACAATTGGGGCAGGCAAATAGAGGAAGAGGAGGTCTCGTATCGAAAGGAAGTGAAGAGCAAGAGCAAAGAAATACAAAAGATGGAGAAAGAGGGGCTAAAGCTACACAAGCAGAGGAAGCGAGATGTGCGAGGATTCCGAGGGCATTTGGTGGAATTGACTACAAGACTTGATGGTCTTACAACACTACACGGTGAACATTCAAGAGCATTATTGCGAGATTGTCAAGATGTGAGCACGAAGGTAGTCGAAGCTAGTTCATCTCTCGTCCGCGCAGAGGTAGAAATATTCGAAGCCCTTGCACGAAAAGGTTGGACAGGAGGTGGTCTCGAAGATCTACTCGAACACGGTCAAGATCTCTTCTCATCGGAACCTCCCTCTACGAACACAGACTCGAATGGTAGCCCATCTAAGATCTTCAGCATTCTGCCACAAAAATCAATCCTTGTAGATGCCACGCAGCCCGCTACCGATGTGCCCCATAAAAAGGTGAACCACAAGCGTAGCGATAGTCTTCTTGTTGACAACAATCATTACCAGTCACTCGCTGCAGTCGCAGATCGTGATATAGATAGCGGGTCAATATTCTCCGAGCGAGACACTAGGATTCTGAACCGCTCCCGAGGCGTAAGGCCCTTTAGTCCAGAGCCTGTTGAAAGAAGTCTAGATCCACTCGAGTTGCCTCCGCCTAGTCAGATTCCCAGCCAACTTCCATCTCCCAGAGAAGAATATAGCGAGAGATCAAGATTCGAGACTTTCGGCTCTGTTACACCCGAGATCTTTAAAGATGAGACTATCTTAGATTCGCAGGTCCCCTCACCAATTTCCTCGCCGGAAATATTCGCAGAAACGGAGATGGAGACGCAGACACACATAGACGCAGTGTCATCGGCAGACAATCGAGCAGAGATGGCACACGAGACCAGCAGTATGCACTCAGAGGGTACAATCCGCGGAGACGATCGAATTTCATCACCAGAAACCGAGTCTGAGCAAGATGAAGCCAGAAGAGAGCGAGAATGGAACGATAGATTTTATGTTTAAATGTTTAGCACGTGGATTATGTCCTTGAGCGTACTAATACCCCTCTAGACCAATTTTTCTTTTCTTTCTCTCTCTAGCATGCGTATATGGGTATATGGGTATCGGGGTATTCGGTTTCGGGTTTGGGATCTGGGAAGGAGTTATTTAAAAATTGTGTATGAGACGATTTGGAGGTATGCTGACAAGTTTAACAAGAATAAAGTAGAGACGGAGAGCTGTGGGTAGTAGTTTCATATTTGATGATTGACAGAATGGCAAAATAAACTTTCATGCTATTTTCGCTGGGAAACGTCTCGCCCAAACTCCTTTCCCTCAATCACCCCATCCATCATCCATACCCAGTTGGTTGGCCGGTCATTTATTACATTTCTGTGCCGTCTATGCTCTCCAGCTTCATCTGTAGTTCTTTTCGCGCAATCTCGGGTATAGTGTCAAAGCTTCTCCAAAACAACTTAATATACTTCGTCTTCGTCTTTCAACACATCACTCCAGACAATCCACATCTCCATTAAAATCCCTCCATATAACCATCTCTACTCATCTTTCTCTCCTTCCACAACTCCAAAAATCCCTAGGTATGTGTCGAACCAGTAGATCATCCTCCAATAAAGACTCGCTTTTGCCCAATCGAATTCGCCCGTCTCGGTCCTTGGTACTGTGTCCCCTATGATATCCGCACTGAACCAATTTAGTAGTGGAATGTTGGACAAAACTTGCTGCGTGTACGATTTTTGAGGGAGTAGGGCCTGATCGGCAGGACGAAGTTGCAGTCGTTGAGCTGTTGGAATTTTGCGACAGTAAAGAGAAGGTGCTTCGGGAGTAGCAGAACCTGCAGAAGACGGCCGTTGTTGAAGGGCAAGGTTACCACCCGTAAATGTAGATGTCGTTAATGTAGTAGTATCGATTGTATGACTTGTAGCCTGCGAGCCCTCGGGGGATTGAGCGCGATCTTCAAAGTGTACGTTTCGACCAATTTGCGACATTTCAGGAGTAGTCCAGGAACGGGGGAGACCGGATTGTTGAAGGGGGCGTTCGGCGCCTGGAAGGAATGGTCCAGGATCGAAGCGATGTCTATTAGAATTGAGACGAGATGATCTTTCTGATGTTACTGTAGAAACTCCCAGTTCATCTTTTGCTGGTGGCGCACCGCGATAGAGTTCAGCGTGAACAAAATAACCAAGTACTGCTTGTGGAGAAGCTTCTATCGCTGCATCTGCTGCTTCCGCGGATTCGAACGTAATCTTAATCCAGTGCTTCCCACCAGCATATTTCAAAGCCTTTGCTTTTTCTTCTATAGTCATTGGACGTCTTCGCAAAACAACTGGATCTCGGAGGTCGGTTTTGTACCGTCGTTGATCTAGAGGTGCATCGCGAGGATAATCTTCACATATGTGGCCAGCAATTTTTTCATATTCTGCGATAGCTGCCCATTGATGTTCTGGCGTGAAACCTCGCAATATAACCTCTGTAGGCTCCTTGTGTACAAATCTCGAAGATTGGCCCGCATTACCATCAATAGCTACTAAAGCATTGTTATCTCGAATATTGGTTTGCGATAATGAAGACGGTATCGAAGATTTGCGCTGAGATGGACCCGAGTCTGATGTCACCGCAGCTCTCCTTGCGAAAGTGGCAGCGAAAATTGCATCTGCAGCTGCCAAGGTTGGATCCTCCTTTTTCAAAGCTGGTGTGCCAGTTCTTGATCGAGATCGTCTTGTCGATTTACCAAAGGATCCTGTCTCTGGAACAGTTCTTCTAACTCTTGCCGCGGCGGGATTTCCATCATTTCTACTTGAATCAGATTGATAACCTTCCATTGTATGGACGTGGAAAAGCTTACCCAGGGAATAGCATAGCATAAGGTCTTTTAATACCATCTTCACCTACATAACACTCCTCCTCTGGAACATTGTGTAATATTAATGGCGGCATTATGTAATTCCTAAAGCAAGGGAGAAGAATGTGATGTGTCTTTTAAAAATAGACTGGTATTTTCTGGAATGCGTGAGGAGATAGATTTGTGGTGTTCTCGAATTCTCAGGATTTTAAAGTCTCACGTCTTCTACGCGACAAATCAAAAGTCCTCGTTGCTATGGTACAAAACACACAAAATTTACCGTGTAGAAATGGCAGGGATCAAGGATTCACCAAGGATTTATTTTTGTTACAGCATGGTACGTATGTACGGAGGGGAAAGCCGCACAAGGTCAAAACGGTCAACGTCATCTTAACTTTCAAAGCTTCAAATATTTCGACGACGTTAAACAACAGCATCTAAAAAGGTTAACAATAATACCCATCAACATATTAATACATACCAGTCAAGATGTTTCGATTCGTAAGTACAATGAAAGTTCTCAGGGACCTCAGTTTCTGATGGTAGAAAGTTATTATCAGGCATTTACTGACCTTGTTAATTCATAGCATAAAACTCTCGATGTCATTACTCTCTTTCACAAGGCAAGCTCTCCAGCCTCAGTAAGAGTTCATACTCTTTTGAAGCAAGCCTCTGCCAATGCTACGGAATCCGCGACGGAGGATCAAGCTAGCGATCACTCTGCGCAAACCGACCCAAAGAGACAAGAGTTCGAGTTGGAAGTCACCGAATCTGCACCTACCCCAGATCAACTTAAGAGCATTCTGGAATATATGGGTGTATCAAAGGTTGGCAGCATCGTTACAGGTGCAAAGGATGAAGCAGATGCCGTAAGGAAGATCAAAGCAAATGAAGATAGCTTCCAAAGACCTCTGGTGTGTTCCTTGTCGTACATTTTATATTATGGAATGATCTTTTGACTAATATTTCAATAGACTGTGGATTGGAGCAATGGAAAAGCTGTTGCTGGAGATAACAAATCTGAGATATTGACGATGCTCAATGCTCTTTCCAAAAATTAGCCTTTGCATTGTTTGCGCTGCATATCCCAAAAGTTTACAATACCAATTTCACAATATCGATCTGTTTAATCGCATCAATCACTGAAGTTATCCCGCATAATTGGGCAACGTGACATAAAGGAGTGAATAAATTGGTTTTGGACTGGACAGAAAAGAGTTCTAATTATTCATGATAGGGACACAGTGATTTGAAGGGATTAATTAATATAAAAGTTCGGGATAGCAGTTATAGACCTCGTTATTCAAGCAGTATGTTCCCTCAGTACTTATTCATCATTCCATGCAGTTCACCATGTACAGTTTCAAGTAAAGTATCCTTCGAATGGAGCTTTCCCTTTTCGTGTTTGACTTCAGTATAAGGAGGACGGAAGACTACAAAAATTAAAGGACGAAAGAATGGAAGGATGAAACACTCGTTGCTGGAGTTTTCATGATGTGCGATCTGGCTCCTTCCTCCAAACTCAGTTTGAATGGGTAGGTAGGTAGGATACGATAAAGCTGGCCTCAAAATATGCTAATGATAGCAGAATAATGAACCATAAAATGCAAGTTCCAATCAAATTACCTATATTATTCACTTTAATCACCTGGGCACTCGTCATGAATTTTTACTAGCGGTACTAGGTAGTACTTGTCATTCTTAGCCTCTTGAAGGTGAATTAGTACGGTCATGACTTTCTACTTTTTCTCTCGCCAAAAAATTTCTCTTCTTTTTAAAAAAAAAGTCAACCCTTCTCTACAAGTCTTTCCACCTTCTATTCTCATAAATCTTCTGGAAGATCCTCTTTCATACCTTGCACTTTAATAATTCCCACCACAAACCTTTCTATTCCATCGTTTCTTTGCGAATACAACCTCTGCACTGTCACAATCAATTCTACCTCGTTGCATTCTCTTGTAGCATAAACGAGTCAATTATTGTCGCATTGAGCTTCAAGCTTTCATCCAAGCTGCGTTGCTATTTCTGGCAATAGCAATTTACAAAACAAGACGCTTCAGTAGTTTAATAATAATTTTACAACAACTCTAGAATTGCTTAGGGAGAGCTCTCACCGGCTTCACTAGCAAACATTCTCGACTCTAGATTTTCGAACTCAATTTGAACATTCAAATAATAATAGAACTCCTCATTTCACGGCTCCACGAGAGCATCCGCGCACACCCACAGGATCATACTTCCAATCTTCGAACCAACATCAACAATCGAAACCCCCGCATTTTCTACAATATCGAGGAACAATGAGTCGCCCACCGTATTACGTCCCGATCCATATGATGGAGAATTCTCGACCTCCTCAAGCCCCTCAAGCTCCACAACCCACGGAGAGCAATCCTGAGAGATGGAACGTTCGAAATCTCCCTAATATGCCTGCATGGATCTCCACTGATCGTGGCCGCTTTCCAAAACGAGAATCTGCTCCTACGAGAATCCCCTGCATTGCGCACTGTGACCTAGTGGCTGATGCCAAGGCTAAAGCTAGCAGCTTATTTGATTTATATCCAGATATTCTTTGCTATGTAAGCAAGCCTACCAACTGGGATGACCTTTGCTTTCTTTGGGATGCAGCCGATATTCAATTGGAGAGCCCTGGATTCCTCTATTATGTCATGTTTTTCATTGGCGAGGAAAATGAGCGACGCAAACCAGACATACAGAAGTCGATAAAGCACGAAATCAATGAATATGTCGAAGCCTGGGTTATAGATCATAGAGACCTCGTTTTGAACTCTGCTGCGGGTAGCATGCACCATCACTTCTGTCAGCATGAACCTGAGAACGTTTCTCCAGCGCTAAAGCCAATGCTTGAAGCAGCTTTGGAGAGTTGTCGTTTACGCCTGTTACAAGCCACCTCGACAGTGACTAATTCAGTCCCTTCTCATGATGCATATCAGCTGTTGCATCCTCAAGGTCCCAGCGTTCCGAGTATCAGAGCTGTCTCAGGCAATGGGACTCGTCATATTCAAGCCGGAAACCAAGTCAATCGACCAGCAATTGCTCCTATAACAGGAAAAGCAGCAGGAGTAAATCTTGTATCGCATCCTTTCAGTCCCATGCAACCTCAATCCAAGTCTAGCTTTCATACCGGTAGGACTGCTAGTATGCCGTTGGCTCCAACAGCTCAGAACCAATTGAAATCTGCGAATCGAGGTGAAGCTGCCACGGGGATGACATCAACTGATCCTCACCAACAATCACAAAAATACGATCGCTTCTTCAAAGATCAGCGCAGTATGGGCAATAAGATTAATGCTACAACTAGCCTGAATGCTTCCCCAACTCGTTCCGAGAGTCACCAAAACGAGAATGGGCTGCGTAACAAATCTAGGCATCGTGGGAATTCGATTGAGACTCAACAAAATAGAAGACATCAATGGACCGGCGCTCATGGAACTCAGCCGAGCAAGTTTATACACCCATCGCAAAATAATCAGCAACAAAACATGTTCTATAGCACGCGAGGAAGCCCTCCTCGAGTTCTTCAGCCCGAGCCTATTTACTTCCGTAACGAGCATGCACCCATCACTATTACTGATAGCTTTAACCGTCGCATGGGCAAAGATAATCCGGTTGGTTCTCGCATGGATCTTCCTAATGATGTTCGAAAGCTTAAGAATTTTGAGAATTCTAAGAATAGTCAGCCACTACCCGGTTTAGGTGAAATGGAAGGAGATCCAAACCTCTTTAAAACAGATGATTACTGCTTGTATACCTATGACAGTGCAGCGTCAAGATCCTTCTCTGGCCGGACCCTATACATGACAGGTGTAGATTTGAAGATGTTTTACACGCATGAGTTGAAGACTCTAATGTCTAAAGTCGGAAACGTGGTGTCAATCAAATTCTTACTCCGGCCCAACAACAATGGTCCAACTTTTATAACGTGAGCTTGCACATTGACCTAGACAATGCAATAAAGCTAATTGACATGATAGATTCGATGCCGATGTCTTAGCTATGGCAATTGAGAAATTTGATGGCTACAAGATGCCAGATGGGCGTGTACTAACAGCAGGATATCCACTTGAAAATTCAAGAGAGCGATCGGGCAGTAACTCCAGCTACCACGGTTACCATGCAGATAGTCAAAACCGCTATTTATTCAATCCTGCGGCCGACAATCGAGCTTGGTCAAGAAAAAACTCGATATCCCAGCATCGACCCTCGAAATCTCAGAGTGGCCAAACCCAATTTCGTTATCAGAATGGCAATCATATGACTCCAGGAAATGTCGCTGATCCCTTTCCATATACACCAGATTCTCAGTCTATCCCTTCATATCCTTTGACACAAGCACCACTTCAACAAATTCCAGGACATGGACTAAGTGCGGCTTTCACGGAAGTTATTCAGCATGAAAGAGGAGTAGGAGCATATTTCCAACAACAAATGCCTCGTGCCGTATTAGACAATAGAACAAATACTGCCGGTGCAGCACCATATCGAACATATAGTGGAGCCCAGGCAGACCGCCATCGTAACGGCACAAGACCTGGAGCTGATCACAACATGGCAAATTTGCCTAACCGCCCAGGCAACAAAAAGGAGAACTCGCCAATCAAGAAAACGTAAGTCAACACATGCTACGTAGGTTGTTGTCAATTCAGAAATCGCTGACATTAAATAAGCTTTTCACAATCTAGGCCTACTGGGAAGGATTCAACTAACAGTCCGGGCAGCCGACACAAGAAGACAGTTGACCAAAATACGTGAGTCTTTGTGTTCGGTTGAAAGTTTAATCTGGTTTTGAGCGTTGCACTAATATACAGATAGGTCAGCCAATACAACCCCGATTGTAACTCCCGTCAGTCCGACGTCTCAAATTCAATTGAACAATCAAAATGTGGTGGCCTCACTAAAGGCTTTGCCAATCGACGAACCAACAAGCTCTACACCAGACCAATTGTTAACCAATGAAGACAAAGTAGAGACCATGGTTGCTATGGAGATGGAGAACGTTGAACAGATATCTATTGAGATTCTCGAATCAACAAGCCCTATCGACAGCTCCTTGCCAGAGCCATTGGGCGGAACAGTAGCCGAAATGGACTCGGAATCAATGTCTCAAGGAAGGGCGAAGAATTTCAAGAAGAACAAAAAGCAACTCAAATCCAACAGCAAGGCCGAGGTCGATAAGGAAAAAAATATTATCGTAACTCCTGCCATACTTTCACCAACTGAATCGACAGTTACAAATCCATCACTTGGCGGCGAAGACGCACTGTTCAGTGGAGACTCCACCCGGAAACCAAGTGTCTCTTCCACTGAATCTGTATCTAACGATGCCTCGAAAGACTCCACTCTCCAACAAGCTACGGTTGTAATCGAAGTTCCAAAAGACAGCGAACGAACAACTGGAAAGTCCTTAGATAATGAAGTCAAATCTGAAAAGATCTCGATCCAAAGTGTCACTACGGCTTCAATTACACCCAGTGTACCTCTTGCAAAGTTCAACCACAAGAAGTCAAAGACTCACGTTTCTACCAAGGATTTCAAGAAACAATCCCAGTCGAATAGTCCAGACAGTAGTAATGTTTCTTCAACCACCAATACTGGATCTGTCCGTAAGACCGAGCCCAAGACAGTTAAACACCAAGGCAAAGTCTCTAAAGATGGTAGTTCTGAATCTTCGGGGCAACAAGAACATCCAAAGACCGATTTGAAGCACAAGAAGAAGCGAAGCTTGCCTGAGGTCAATCAGGAGAAGGGCGCGCCTTCAATCTCAGTTGACCCCACCAACTCATCTGACTGGCCCGCTCTGGCTCCTTCCAAGTCTCCCCCTTCAAGTATTGCTGATGGAAAGCCACCACAATTACCTGCACTGCCAGCCGTGAATCATCGCAAAACTAAGGAAGTAATTGTACCGGCATTGCCACTCAAGCCGCACCGACAATCGTAAGAATCTCATGTCTAATATCCATTCGCCATGCGAGCTGATTCCGTGTAGGGATTATACGCTAGGGAGCAAGGCTTGGCCGTTCGTAAGAAAATGCAAACGAAAGGTCTCACCGGAAGTTAGCGGTGGATGATCAAGGCAGCATTACTTTTGGTAGCAGATTATGTCAATATTTATATCTACTGGTATCACTCATAAGATACTATCGATAGACGGGGTCGGAAATGAGAGTCATTTATTCAGAGTGTAATTGTTTCACATCATTAATAGTCATAAACTAATAACATTGATACTCAATAAGTTTGTGGCTACCTCTCTTCACGTGAATTTGTTCCTCGACGCTCACGACAAGAGTTCCTTCTGGTGTCTGCTTTTATATAATGATCATTGCTGTTGTGCATTCACCTTCGAACAATCTCAAATGCTTTGTAGTAAAATGCAATTTTGATTTTATAGATGCTTATTGCTTGTGATTCTCTATCTCTAACTCCAAATAGTAAGCTCAAAGCCAGAATATCTCCCAAATATTGGTCTCAGATGACCGCCCTTTCATATTCCACTGTCATATCAGGTTAGATTACTTCGAAATCTTTTTTATTAGCCATCGGGCATTTCAATAATGTATTGTATAGGCATACCTTGATTTAGTGAACTTGTGAATTGTACAGACGCTTGGTTGGTTGGTTATCTGATTGGACTGCGTAATGATAATTTGGATTTGTGGATGGGTGGTTTAGAGATGATATGTGTTGGGGGGGGGGATTATTGATGTGCGTGTGTGCGAGAGATGTTTTTTTTTTTTTGGAAATGTATTGTGTGATTTAGAATATACTCTCCCTTTCACTAAAATCTAGTCTGAAGTAACTGAAGTAACTGATGAAAGAATTTAAATGATATAAGAGTAAATTACCTTTCAACTTTGGGGAAAGAGTAATTAAATGACTTTTGGGGGTAGGAGAATAGTTTGTTGGTAATTTTAATATTAAGAATCTAAGCTGGGAACGATGATAGATTGTAGAATTATCCGTGAGTGATTTGTTGGGGGGTTTTCAATAATCTGCTCTGTGAGTATCCGTTCGGTAGTCTTCATCTGATTAAGGATAAGACGAAACAAGATGTGATTACGATTGTAATATTGTTGATTGATTTCATGGGAAGAACATATAGTTTGCTCGGGCATATGGTGCCGCGTTGTGTGTGTGTTTTTGATGTGATTGTCATGGTTGTGATGGTGGGCTTGGACCTTGGGTTTGGGGAGATGTTGGGATAAGTTTGTTGATAGGTTTGGGAGTGTGTAAGTTGCATTTTTGTTGTTATATTAAAGCCAGGTCTAGAGATTCTACTGAAATGATGGGTGATTCCTCATGGGAAAAGGAGGCCCTTAGATGCCGTGCGTATTGAGCCAAAGTCTATAGATTCCATTTAATGATGGGTGGTTTCTTATGTGAAAAAGAGGCCGTTAGATCCCATTGCTGAACCAAAGCTCTTCACAACTTGGAAATTTAATTTTGCTACTCAGTATGCTTTGCATGTAATTCAATGGCGAAAACTAAGTAAATATGTATATCTATCTATTTCTTCCAAGTTTCTCGATCCCGTGAAGTGAGATTGTCATTGCAAGAGTTGTTACGCCGACGAAACTTCTGTCGACGGCTATCAGAACCATTCTTACGGCTTGAAGTATAATAACGAGTGTAAGTCTAGTGGAGAGACCCGTCTAAGATCTCGCGTGTCTGCTACCCCTAAACATCTTGAACTGTGAATGGTATTACGCGAGTTTTCGTTACCCTATTTGGCTCATCGTCAAGGACTTTGTCAAAGTGTCTCGCTCTATTTGGCTGTCCATGTTTAGACAGTACGGTCTTAGGAATCTAGATGTACCGTCTTTTCACCATTCATTTTTTCAAATTCAGAATTGGTTTATGAAATTCACTGTATGTATCTACTTTTCTTGGTATGTAGCTGCCTACCGGTAATGGTGTTCTAGACTTGGCCTGCAAAATTCACTCAAGATTTCTACTTTGGCAGTACCTACCCCTTCGGCCTTCAAGAACAAAGGTCAAGTTTGGACTCGTATCTCATTCCGGGTTTTTAAACCTTCCACCTCGAATCCTTGTGACTGTTCTTGAATAGATGTGGCAACTAAACTCTAGAAACCTCTACCACACTCTGCCTGTTCGAGACTCCTCTACGGTGTCTTTGTGAGGGCTTTATTTCATCCTCGAAACTAAATATCTACGATAATTTTCCTGGCACATCGAGATTTTTATCTAACATCCATCACTATCGAGTCTCACAATCTCCTTACTTCGCACGAAACACCTATCAATTTCAAGACGTACTCGACTGCCAGTGATTCTTTGAACTCATTTGTCGATACTCCGTCAGTTGCTTCTCATCTTCACAAATCGCCACTGAACATTTTGTACTTATCATTTCATCAGTGATATAGCAACAAATCTTCTGCCCATCATATCACCAGCAGGAATATCACAGAACTTCTGTTTATCGTTTAATCAAAGATATCACCACAGAGCTTCGACCGATTATCTCGTCAGGGAGACTACCTCACTGTAGCTCCATTCCCAGACTGATTCGAACAAACGCAATCAATCACTACCTACCACCAGCGATCATCATGACAGATAGTAATCCAAACGACGATTTGCCGCACCTTATCATGGGACTTACAGCACTAGAGCACCGCAAAACCAACATGAAAAAGATCCTTCGTTCCTTGAACGAAAAGAATCACTCGAGATATAATAAAAGTCAGTTGTTACGTCGACTTCATGAGGTCGAGAGCGGTGGACAGGTTTCAGATGCAAGACAACAAGCTATCAATCTTTGGCTACGAATAGGGTCCATAGGTGACATCAGCGTTTATTATAATCAGAATGACCCATCTCAACAGTCGCAGGCATCTCGACCTCTCAAGCGCAAGAGATCTGCTGAACCCGTATCTAACGATTACGGAGATATTCGGATTAAGCACGAAGATTCCATAAGGTCAGAACCGCAACCAAAACCACAACCGCAACTGAAGGAATGTTCTATATGTGCAGAAGACCTTGTGCTCGCTGAATTCCCACATTAAATCTCAGCTGAGTGCACGCATGATCCAACATGCTGCACCTCGTGCGTTTCCCGGTCTATTGGTGTGCAAATCGAAAGCAAAGAATGGGATTAGATTAGATGTCCCGAATGCGCAGTACTTCTCTCCTTCGACAATGTGAAGTTGTTTGCCTCCGAGACAGACTTCATTAGGTATTTCATGTCCCCTAAAAATCTGCTCTACAGTCTCATGCTAACATCTGATACAGATATGATAAAAGCTCGCTCTCATCTTGCATCAGAAGTGATCCCAAATCCACAAACTGCCTTGGCCCCGGCTGTAACGATGGTCAAATCCATGAGGGCGGCGACGATCAGCCTATCATGACATGTGGAACATGTAGTTTTAAAACATGCTTCACTCACAAAATGCCCTGGCACACTGATTTAACTTGTGAAGGGTATGATGATCAGTCCAGGAATAGACTGCGACAAGAAGACGCAAGCCAAGATCTAATTAATAAGGCCACCAAGAGGTGTCCCAGTTGCCAAGTCCGCATCGAGAAGAACCTAGGCTGTGATCATATGACTTGTAAGCTGTTGAATTTTCAGAGTATTGAGTATCTGGGTTGCTAATCAAAGAATAGGCCGTTACTGCGAGCACGAGTTCTGCTGGGTATGTTTCATCGATTATAGATTAGTCCGGTAATTGGCAACGCAGCCCATCTATCAACCTGTCACTACTTTACGGGGAATCTTCCACGGCATCCAGATCAAATACAAACTCCCCGTCGAGTTCCCGGGAGACGTCACGCCATTGCAAGATCTGCAAACCCAGGTCCGGGACCACCACGTACGGTATTTACAACGCAACAACTTAGGATTGTGGACCGTATTCGTGCATCTCAAATGCAGCAAAGCAACATCTGGGCTTATGAAGGCTTGGATGATGAAGAATATTAGTACTCAATCCCGTCCCGAGTCGATTTTGGGAAGCAACCAAGAGAGAAAAGCAGATAGTCTGGAGTAGCAATCATTCTGCAGGGAAATCATCACGCCTGGAGAAAAGGGGCAGGGATTCTTTCATGATTCGTTCTGGCTTTATTGGGAGGATTTGGTGCTAGGTGTCAATGATTTCGGGTGCGGGGTTAATAAGTATGATCTTGGTCATACTCGGGGTGGGAAGGGGTAATCTATTAGGTGGGAGGGGAGGATAGTTAGGCAAATTGCGAACCAATAGTTTTTATGATGCGGGTGAAATTTCTCAGATGTGTCATATTCAATATTTCTCTTCCATTTTCATCTTTTAGGTATCTCGTGCCTCAATAAAAAGGTCAAAGATATGCTTCTTCCATTAGAATCATTCATGTGTTTTGCGAATCGATCCGTCAGATGAAACTATATAGCTGCACCACTAACAGCTACATCAATGGTCATACTTGCTTAAGGACATTGAAAATGTAAATTGTAAGCTGTTACTTAACTTTGCCATCTCAGTTTTATTTTTCAGACTAACTAAACAGCTCATGCACTGAAATATAGTAAATTGAAAGAGCCTTAGCTTTTTGCACCCCCTCACTTAGCTCCGTTTACATTTTCTTTCACAAAAGCTTCCACTTTCCCTCCAACTTCGTTCCTTAACTTCCAATCTCCAAATCTTTCTGCACACTCTCCAAGTAGATAATTCTTCTTCGAAAAGATTGTAAGTAGCACTACCCTGCTTGTACCCACCGTGCACTTGATGAAAAAACTAATTCCTGTTCCTTGATAGAGCCATCTTTAGCCAATATGTCGATCACGACCCTTCTCTCCGCGATGAAGAGTCAATGTGCTCGTTGCGGCGCTCCAGCCCATAGGGGATGCACTGGGTGTTCTTCTCCGCTCGGCGAGGAGGCCTTTGTAACTATCTATCATTGCGGCGAAACATGTCAGGCGGAGCACTGGAAATCGCACAAGTCTGCTTGCAAGGCTCAAAAGCCTATCAGAGATCAAGAGGGCCGACATAGCAAAGTCTGTTTGAGAAGGCGCTATTAAGTTGGGGGTTTTGATCTTTGTGAATTGGGAGAGGCGTTCCTGCGTTATCGAACCATTTATCTAATCACGATGAATTTTGTTCATCAGATTATGGGAAGGGCGCTGAACTTATAAACTCGTTTCCAGGTAGAACAGAAGAATTTGTGGTTGTATCTAAGATAGGTTTATCAAAAAGAATATTGATCAGTCAATTCTATGCCCTTGAATGCTCATGATAAGCAATGAATATCTATTAATTGAGTGCAGGTACCATCGTTTGCACAACCATAGTTTGAAGTCCGTTGATAATGGTCTAGAAATGCAGTAATAGCGCTTTCGCTTAGGAGGGTCTTCGTGAAAGTTGGCCTAATTTGTGGAGATGGTTAAATAAATCTTGTCCCCCAAAGAGCCCTAGAGTAAGGCTAGGTAGTGATGCTCTGGTTTGTCTAACAGAATGAGACCTCCAGTGATGAGTATATGCAGCATGCAGAATGTTTATAGCTCCAGTAAAAACATTTCCCTCACCTCGCTTATTGGTAGGCTGGTAATGATATAAGATTAATCGAACACTAACCAAACAGAAGTGGCATGATATCGTGGCTTGGTATCACAGCTCAACAGCACCTATGTCTTGCATTGAAGACACCGCCCCATATATGCCAACAAGACTGATCACTGATTACGTTCAGATTTGGGGTGTGCGAATCACAGAAAGATTTCTGATTTTAATCTTCTTCTCCGTCAAATGGTCTTACAGGGGACTAACAATATGGATTGCACTTTTTGCTTCCAAGAATCTAGAGATTATTGCACGATTACGTGATAGGGCTTTCAAAATTCAGTATGTTGCAGATATGACCTTCTGGCTGACAACGCTAGTTGTCAGCCTGGAGCAGGATGCAGCTTTCGGCTTTCTCTGTCTAGACTTTACTCTCAAGGGACAGTTCAAGGGGTTGTTGACGGGACCCAGCTACTAGGTTTACCACGAAGGGTTACAGGAACCATAACCATCACCCACATTCGAGTATGCTTTATAGCACCTTCCATTTTGGGATACCGTCTAGATGTCTCAAGGGTTTAGCTTACTACATGCAATAAAGGTATCAAACACATACTTTATCAATGCCGGTTGCATAGTGAGCCTACGCTGGCGACCCAAAACGCAACCCTTAGAGCCTCATGAGAGTTGTGTGTGGAGGCTGACAACTTCGACTCCCTCAGCTGTTCTCGACCGCTTAATGAATTGTTTAGTTTGCACAATGGGGACTTGCGTCACTCAAAAGAATGCAATCGTGCCTCATAAGAGAGCACATGCGTTCATAAACTAGGCTGTGCACAAATTATCTGTACCCATGGATTATCTGCGGATAATTCACTCTATAGATTATCCATCAGAGGTTTTATTTGCTCTATAGATTATCTATTGAAACTTTAAAATTATTTGTTTTATATAAATAATCCATAGATTGTCTACAAATAATCCATTTATTTACAAATAAATAAATTATCTATAAATATATAAATTATCTACAAATAATTTACGAATTATTTGTAAATAATCTATAGATATATAGATTCTCTAAAAAAAGTAAAGAATCTCCATTTTTTTTTTCGCTTAAAATATGAAGCTATTTTCAAAGTAATTATAAAATTATATTAATATTATAAAAGATTATAAATAGTTATATAATATATAGATAAATGAATATTTACAAATAATTTGTACCCACCCCACAAATTATCCATCCAGATTCTGAATTATTTACTCCACAAACGAATTATCCACAGATTATCTATCAAGGTCATTATCCGCCTCGCGGGTACTCGTTGCGCAGCCTATCATAAACAATCGCCACAACTTCGCATTTCCCAATGGGACTTATCCAACAACTTCTTAGCTGCAATATCAAGATTCTCCGCCGCTCGGCAAAAGGTGAATCAGGCCCAAGAAGAAAGAGGTCTTGGTCACATAATGGAGACCATCCTCCGGTAAGAAAGCTAAATGGTTCTTTTGGTGGCCACCACTGACTAGCTCGCTGACACTGGTTAGAGCTAGGCTGCGTAACGGGTACCCGCGGGGCGGATAATAGCCTCGACAGATAATTCGCGGATAATCCGTCTACAGAGCGGATAATTCAAAAATCTGAATGGGTAACCCGCGGGGCGGGTACAAATTACCCGCGGATATCCACCTACCTGTATATTGTATAATTATTCATAATCTTTCATAATATTAGTATAATTTTATGATTAGTATAAAAATTAGTATAAATCTAAGCTTGGATCACTTTTGGGCTGGAAAATAATCTGGGAATAGCTTCATATTTTAAGCGAAAAAAGCGGATATATTCATATAATCCGCAAATTATCCGTAGATAACCCATATATCCGCGGATAATCCATCTATCCACGGATAGATGGATTATCTATATGGAGCGGGTAATTTTAAAGCCTCAACAAATAATCCGCAAAACGGGTAAAACCTTTGATGGATAACCCACAAAACGGATTATCTGTAGATAATTTATGGGTACAGATAATTTGTGCGCAGCCTAGTTAGAGCAACCCAAGTAATACAACTATCAATCGTGAAGGTCCTAGTTTACGACCATCCACAAATGGACGACCAGTTCCCGGTAGAAATAAGCTAGGCGGATGTCAATTCGTCTCGTTACAAGAAAAATTAAGTGGGAGTCGAAAAGAAATTTCCCTGCAGTCGGGACGATTTTCAATTCCTATATGTCGCCAGAAATCCATAATCATCGTCGAGGCGATTGAAGACGATATACTCAGATGTGATGCCGCAATAACAATTGATAGAGCAAGAGTTCTTGCACAGTGGGCCCGAGATAATGGAAGAAGATTAAAGAAAATTATACGCGACCTTAGCTTACATGGAAAGAGGTGCGGATATATGCCGCCTTGCGAGACAGGACAATTCGGACAAGGACCTTCCTTTACAATACATTCGAGGTGTTCTCTCCCCTGAAACCGAGACGCCAGGAAAAGGGGGTCTTTTCCTCAAAACAGGGTTGCCAGTAAAGCATATTGATCATGGGAAGGACAAAGAGTTGGAAGAGTTCTTCAATACACAATGGTGGATGATAGCACCTGTGTTCAAGGACAAAGCAGAACTTGAACTCGCCGCAAGAGAGGTTCTGCCTTTCCTTCCCTTTGATGGCGAAGATACAGACGAAATGGAGACCAAGTAGGGACCATACAGCGAGGAGCTTTAGTCGTTTGCACTACAATTCGAAAGCGACAAATTCTTGAATCTTAAGCATTGGAAGCTTAGTATTTATTTTTTCAGTCTAAAGACGTATGTAATAAATCAAAAATGTAGGTAATTACCCCCAAAATGATTGTGGCTCTGGATACGAACTTTTTCTAATTTTTTTACTTCTCGAAGTAGGGCTATCGTAGACTTGCTGATAAAAAACCTCCAAATTGTGTCGAAAGGAAGGAAATAATCTTATTCATTAACAAATCAAGAAGTCACCAAAATTCTTCTACGCTAACAGAGCACCGAGGCGAGAAACAGCCGAGACTAAAGCACAGAGCAGAGCACGGTTGCGAGCAACAGATCTTACAGAAATCATGTTTTGTCAGGCTTATTAGTTGTCCAGGAAATATACTGATTTACTATATTAAATTCTGAAATATCTAGCAATAGCAATCTAAACCTCTCACTACCGCAGTAATACAACCCTAGATAACTTTACGAGCGTGTGTATCAAGTCCGGAAAGATATTACTTCTCTTGCCAAGCCCCCGCCAAGTTAACATCCACTTTGCTGCAGCTGAACTCAAGAAACATATGAAATCCATGGTAGACTCTGCTTTATTGTTAATCAAACCACCCTAGAAAAGATTCATCCAGAAACGGGTATCTGTTCGTGTGCGAAAAGCAAGCGACCGGAAGTATGAGGTCTTGTGAGATAGCGCAAAACTATGGCATAATCAAGAATATCAAGTTTCTCGGTTCAGTGAGTGAGAACAAAAGCGAGAGCACTGTGTGACGGCTTGAAAATGCTCGAATTAGCGATAGCAGACCAATGGGTTCCAATAAGCATATCTGTCGAAGTTAAGCGTATGCCGCGCGACCTTTCTCTATTTCCTTCCTTTTCGAGCCTCAAGTATATCCGCTGAGTATTCCTTTCGCTGCTGCACTTCAATCGCGGCCAGTCCCCTTGTCATAATAGTTTAGAACTGAATATTAGGAAGTGTGAAATGTTTCGAATATAGCTACATATCATTCCTGAGTTTATCTTCGTCGATATATAGTTCTTCAATCTCGGTAAGTTGACGAAAGTGTCTCAAACGAGGATGAAGCTCAGGATGTGTCTTGTTGATGCGATATTGGTTGAGATTGCGAATCAAATCAACATGACCCTCTGTAAAGATGAGACCGGCACGCTGCTCAGGTGTGAAGTTTTTCTCTAAGCATAAAACACCGTTGCACGCCCTAGAGCTGGGAGAACATATGGCCAGGTGATAATGTTTTACCACGATGTGGAGACTGACCAATTCGGGGAAATGGGAGAGAAATGATGTTAGAAAGTCCCGTCTGTTGAAGCCTTCAGATGTGATGCACAAGTTTTGAACTCGAGCAAGCTGAGCCCTATCCATACTATTGAGGCCATCTTGGAATTGAACCTAGTCATCACCTAGATCTTCAAGAGGGGCCTTGAACGTCTTTGCGTTGAGATAAAGTATATCCACAGCACAATCGAAATAGGTTCGAGCGAATCCAGAATAGCCATCGTCGAGAATAGAAAACATTATCTTATAACGCTTGAGCGCAACCCGGCGAGATTTAATGCAAGCTGATAACATTGCTGGTACCCGATGTCCAGATTTTAATGTTGAGACATGGCGACATGAGGGTCGACTGTTCTTATTGTAGAATGGCAGTAGGTGTTTCTATTTAAGCTTTATATTCACTATCATTTATAAGTGCTGGGTAGAAACTGAGAGGGTAGTAATAGGTAGCAAAACATGAAATTGGGTAATCTGCATCAACTATAGCTATACATCCCCTAATCACTGTCATATCTCCGAAGTAGATCTCCCCTTCATGAATTCGACAAACTCCACATCTAGTTGAAAGTAGGTTAGTAGATTTCTCACTCACTATAAATACTTTGCCGCATATAATTGTTAAGATACTTACAACTAATTTTATCCTCCGCATCAACAGACTTCATTATAACATTGTCAATCTCTGCATCACTGATTGTTTCTCCCAGATTTCCCAGAACCTGTCTCAATTGCGCTGCAGTAATTGACCCTTTCAAAGACTGATCATATTCCTTCCACGCAGATTTCCACTCCTCCTCTGGATCTTCTTCACTCGAAACAGGATTCGGGGCCGAATCTACTTTCAGATCGTCTTCGCTGACCTTTGAATCTTTTGGTTCGTGCCTTGTTCGGCCTGTCATCATGGCAATGAATTCTGCATGCATTTAGTGGCTGACCCTCTGTTCCTATAACAGATTCACGGTATCATACCATCAAAATTGATAGTACCATCGCCATCAAGATCAACTTCTTTTATGATCTGTGCAAGTTCTTCTTCGGTTGGATTTTGTCCAGACTGTTTCATCACACGGCCAAATTCCTCTACGGTGATGTTGCCTGTGGATACTAATCAGCTCTAAAAGCACTGCAGGTCATCTCACACAACCTACCTCCTTTATCCGTGTCCTGTGGGTCAAATCAGTATGAATATTCCCAACGCTAGTGCATCTCGCAGGTAAACACGTACATATGCTTCGAATGCTTCTTTGAGAATAGCAACTTCTTCATCTGACAGTGGCTTGGCCTAATCATACTAAATCAGCAGCAATAGCGGACATATAATATCTCCACATACCATAATGGTAGAATGTTCGGTATATTTAGAAAACAAGAAAAGAGATGAACAGTTCTTCAAAGTTCAAACGAGAAGCTATTTCGCGGAGCTCATCCCATCTTAAAGTGGGATGAGGGTAGGTATCTACAGGCTGCCCCTGCGTCGATTATGCTTACGTGATAGTATAATCATCGGCGTATAACGTTTCAGCAAGGACAGTCGTTTGATATCGCTGAATTCTAGCATTATTGTTTGATACAATATCTCATCTTCCGCAATCGATTCATTTAACGCCTACATAAATCTATGCTACGAGTGTGAAATGAGATCATGAAGCAAATGCAATACCGGTACATGATGTAAGCATATGATTGGATGGGAATCTCGCCGAGCATACTGAGGGTTATCAACCGAAGAGTTAACTTTGCTCTCGTCTGTTGAATGATTAAATGGTCTGCGAGGTTTACATCATGAGATATCGCAGAGGTGTAAGTATCATATGTCACGTGACAGCAATCCTTACCCCTACAGTATCTCCATTCATCTGCTAATACCGCCAGAGCAATAGCGACGAGGAAAACAACCCGCCCACCAAGTCAAAGCCTTCCGCATGCCCTTCAACTCAGCAAACTCCACGAACACTAGTGAGCTCTAGGTCTACAATCTAGACTAGAGAACCAAGCATGTAATCATTAACGAGCTCCCTTTTCTCTTCACAATATATTCAACCCGGTCCTCAAAATTGATAAGCAACGTAAATAGAACAAAGCACACCACTAAACTTTCAGGACAAATCAATACATCTCATAGACCGGAATTTGTAACCGTAGTTGACGAACTCAATCAACAAAAAACACGGTATTCATCTAATTCATCAATCTAAACAAACTTGCTGTCCTTACTTACATACAAGTCAACATACTCATCTACTGCCATTGACTCAAGTCTCTTCGAGTCATTGCCCAAGTCAACCAACTCCTTAACCTTAGCTTCGCTGTAATGTGGTCCCAAATGTCTCTTGTATTTGGCCAAAATTTCTGGTTTGGCTTCTTCTCTTCTCAATCTGTGACCTAATGGAGCATCAACGACAACCTCTTCCAAAACTTGTCCATCGTTCAATGTGACGGTCAAAGCATTTGGAATGGTTCGCATGTTCTCGTTGTGGTAATCCTTGGTGAATTGTGGATCTTCGACACAGGCAATCTTTTGTCTGAGCGATTCAACCAAAGGAGAAGTAGCAGCCTCCCCTCCGTCGGTATAATCTGTAGCTTCAAGACGTCCAAAAACGAGCATGACTGCGGTCATGTATTGGATGCAGTGATCACGATCGGCAAAGTTGTCCATAGGCTTGAATTGTTTGTCGATGATGCGAACGCAAGCTTCGTGTGTTCGGCAGGTAATCTCCTTGATGTCAGCAGCAGACTTTCCTTGGTCTACCAATTGTTGACGAATACGTTTTGCGGCTTCAATGGCGGTTTGAGAGTGGAACTCAGCTGAAAAATATTAGATGACAAACTAGAATAGAATGCGTGGACAACATACCTGGATAGGATACTTTGAATAAAACGTTCTCCATGACATAGCTGCCATATGGACGTTGAAATTCAAACTTGTTACCCTTGAAGAGAACATCGTAGAAACCCCAGACCGGAGCAGACAAAACTGTAGGAACACCAGACTCGCCCTTCATAACCTTCAAGACTAAGTTTACGGCACGTTGGCAAGCATCACCAGCAGCCCATGACTTTCTTGACATGGTGTTTGGAGAGTGCCTGTATGTTCTTAAACTCTGTCCATCAACCCAAGCTTGTGAAACTGCATCTGCGGTTTGCTTCTCGCTCAATCCCAACAATTTGGAAACTACAGCAGCACTAGCAACCTTGACAAGTACAACATGGTCCAAACCGACCTTATTGTAAGAGTTCAAGAGTGCCAGACAACCTTGAATCTCATGTGCCTTAATCATAGCTTCCAAAACCTCTTTAATAGTTATGACTTTGCCATTGCCGAGACTTCCACCAGCTCTGTTTGTTCGAGAAATCCAATCTGCCACTGCGAGAATTGCTCCCAAGTTGTCAGAAGGATGTCCCCATTCTGCAGCCAACCAGCAATCATTGTAATCGAGCCATCTAATCATAGCACCAATATTGAATGCACCATTTACAGGATCGAGCTGAAATGGTGTACCTGGGACCTTTGTACCATTAGGAACAATAGTCCCTTCAACAATTGGACCCAGCAACTTTGTACATTCTTTGAATCGTAAACCTTCGAGACCGCATCCTAGAGTGTCGAGGAAAACAAATCGAGCTGTGTCGAACTGTCAAAATCAATTAGCGGGGTAATCAATATTGTGATTCTTTGGTAGAACTCACAGCAAGATCCGATTCAATTGGGGTGTTATGAACATAGCTGGCGATATCCTTAATCTCAGGATCGTACTCTCGAGCTTGGGGTGGTGGCGGGGCCCCAGATTGCAAAGGAGACATGGTGGAGAATTGTTTGAGCGATGGTGTTGTCCTTGTTGAAGCTCCGAAGTTTGCACGACTTCGCAGAGAAGGTAGGATTCTGAAGTTTCGTGATTGGGTTGGTAATCGAAGAGTTCTTGATGCAGTACGAACACTACGATTAATTGTCGACATCGTTTTCTCTCTTTGCTTTTCGATCAATCAATGAAGACAAATAAACTTTTCACATCAAGAAATCAAAAGACACAAGGAGTTAGTTTGGAAATAATGAGTTTGTTAGATTGTTCTCTACCCGTACTATACCTAGGCATTACCGCATGCCACAGGTCTTTTGACTGTACCAACCTTCCCCACGGATCTACAAAATCCTTCTCACTTGCCTCGGTTAAGAGCGGTTTACCTCACGGTATCGGATGTAAAAACCACTGGGTATATTATTGATTTGGTAGACACCAAGAACGGATTGGAAGATTAATAATATATGTATGTATGTATTTATGCATGTATGTACTCGTAATAATGACTACGTTGTTCTACGGTCTGTAGGTTACTGATTCAGTTCTCAATTGTCATTAACCCCTTTCGCTACCGGTGCTATTCATTACCTGTGTAAGTAATCTCAATGTTTTCACAAATGAAACGATTAGAGACTAATAAAGTACATTCCCCCCTTAAACTCTTCTTCAAGAAATAATTCGTATTCCTTCGCCATTTTCCAAATCATTTATGGAATCCGCTAAGTGCTCTCCTTGGTAACCTTTCAGCTTGATCCTTCTTTTTAGCATGCAACGATTGCCCATCAGGTTCTAGGTACGCATCCCCCCATCGGACTGCAGGATCGAGAAGTCAGTAACTATTCTTTTGTTGGAAAAATTCACCCCAAAGCTTCTCCAAAGAAGTCGAAGGATCAAGCATCCTCTTGAAGACTTCACAAGTATCATAGAAAGATAAGATGAAGCAGTGGTTGGGCGATAAGTCCTGGGGAAACATACCAAATAATTGTTCTCCAAAGTTTATATCCCTCAACGCTCTAACAGTGATGCGTAATTTCCCAGCCCAGACTTCTGAGCGGAATTCAACATTTGATGTTTGACTCGTGCCTCTGTTAATCACCCTAGTCCATCCACCTTTGTGGCCAGTAATCAATGTTGCGATTGGTTCTGTGTTGGTGTCAACGGTCTTCTTCACTACAACATCCGGGTCAATCTCTAGAACTTTTCCAGACTTATCAACGGCAGGAGGAGCATGAAAGTCTATAGATAATGTAGAGGGACACTTGAAATCACTCTCAGCACCAAGTGGAATGAATTCTCCAAGGACTTCCGAAATGATATGACCCCTTGGGACATTTTGTAGAATCCTGACTCCGCGGTCAACAGTGGTAGCCATTTTGGAATTGGATTCGGAATGATATTCTTTGATCTCTACCAAGATTCGATTGAAAACATCGATTGTCCTACAGCGACAGATTGGCTCCTCCTCGGGTGCTTTTGCTGGCTCATCTTCTTCTTGTGGTTCTTCCTGTACTTCTTCTGCTACTTCCCGCTGCCCCGTTCGGAGACCACAAGCAACACACAATGGATAGTTCTTCCCCCATTCTCGACATGGATGCTGAATATCCGCAGGCGGATATTCCCAGCTCGCTGGCCATGTTGATGGGGGAGCATACTGTTTAAAAATCTCTCTATTGAATATGTTGGCCTTCAGATTTTGAAAGCGGAGCGGAACCACACGGTTCCTCGTAGGTCCCAACTTTTCTACGTTTTCCTTCGGATTCGTGAATGGAAGCTTGAAGACGCCCTGATGTACAGATTCAGATTCGCCAGGAAGGGGCGTGAACAAGCAAGGATAAACTGTTCCATCCCCTCCAAGCCAAACTTCAAACGGATCTCTGATCGAAGGATCCAGCTGGAGATTCAAATTCGCTGGCCGTATATCGCCCTCAAACATCTTCAAACCGCTCCGTTCAAAAACTTTCATATATGGAATATGTCGTGCGATAGCAAAGCCTCTGATGCTGAAGTGTTCTAACTGAAGCTTCAAGTGAAATTCGTCCCATCTAGTAGTATGTGAGTACCCTTTTTGACCTTGCTTGGCGAAAGTTCCATCAGGCAATTCTCCATAGCTCAATGCGTTGCGGAAATTCTGTGAAAGCATGAGAACGCAAGCACTGTCAGTGCCTATGCCTCTCGCAAGGTCTTCTGGCCTTTGAGCTAAGAATAGAAATCGCAAGTATACCCCAGAAAGATCGTCAAACAACCCTTCATAAGGATCGTACGTATCGGAATTGATCAACGTGGGGTGCAAGTAGTGATATTGAAGATCCGCATAAATCTTTTCAAACAATTCCGTCGTATGGATTCTATGCCTCTCCCGCTCGATATTCGTCTTTACCGATTGTGAGAGTGGAAACTTCTTCTTCCCCCGATTTTCCAAAAACTTCCGTCGTCTCTCTCCGGCTTGAACCACAGCATCATCTTCATGTTTTCTCTTCCACCCACGACTTTCTTCCACAACCTTCTCTGCATGTTTCTCTGCCAACTTCCTCTTCCGACTTGCAAATTTCTCTTTCAATTTTCGGATTCTTTTGTCGTGTTCGAGTTTCTTCTGCTCATTGTACGCGGCTCTCCCAGCGGGATCCATAAATTGTAATTTCTCCTGCTCAATCTCGTTCTCTCTTTCTTCCATCTTCTCTCTAGCTAATCTTTCAGCCGGGCTCAGCTCACTAGACCGTCTTCTAGGAGGTCGAGAGAAAGGTCTAGAGCGAGACCGAGATCGAGACTGAGAGTCAGAAGAAGGACGTGAATCACGACGAACTGGTCGCGGACGGGGCTGTCGCCCCCTCGGCTTCGCCCATGGTGTCCAACCGAACCAATTAGCCATCACGAAATGATTGCGTCGTGGAGTTTCCTGGTATCTAATAAATAATAGCAAACTATCTCAACAAATATTCCAATAGTATAGTATAACCAAGCTATTGATATTACACTCCTCGTATCTCACACTGTCTATTCATGAAACCATACCATATCATATAATAATTCTAAATTCTTTGTACTTGATCCAATATGAATACTATAATGAAAGAAAATCTCCGCATGCAGTTACAATCACTTTGGAGCACAAATCGTCAAAGAATAGGAGTTTGTTACTTTATATTTTCTTTGATAGCTTGATAATGAGGAATTTAAGCCGTGAACGGTTTTCTCTGATGGATGACAAGGTGTTGAGTGAGCAGTAACCCCTGATACTAACTTGGCTTGAGGATTTTGAGGACAGTTGGAAATTGCCAGGGCTAATTAGTATATAGGATTACTACTAGCGTACTGTCGAATTTCTCACTGCTGTCTAAAGAAACATCAATAGTCTCGTAAATTCCAAATCCCAAACTTACTTTCCACATCCCATCACGTGATATCAATTCCCTATCTCAGATTTACACCCTGAGATGTCCATCGAGAATATCATCTCTAGTAAAGTTTCTAATAATCAAACGCCTTGCCTTAACAAGCCGTCTAACACAAGATAAGTAGCAAGCCACCAAATCTCCACAAAAGGCTTCCGAAATACAATAGATATCCACAAACACGCCCGCGGCCTAATCCTAAGACCGTATCTCCAACTCCCGATGATTACGGGGAATCATTGGCGGAATTTGGATGTTGATCCGACCGATAGATTGGATGCATGAGGAAAAGATTGGTTTTTTGTGATAATCTGCTAGTTATGAACGGGCGTGGAAGTTGAACGGTTCGAGTATGTTGGGTGTGGATATGAGGGATCGAGTACTACGTCGGTAGCGTGAGCGAAGTGGTTTCTTGTATTATTTGACTATCCACGGGGAAAAGAATTGTTTTGATTAGAATCGGTTGGTATATTTCCTGCTAGAGGAAGATGCTCAATAGCTGCTGCAAATGTATTTTTTACTTGTGTATAAATTCCATGGTATTGACGTTGCGATGCAGGGCAAATATCCACAAATGCTCACCTAACAGTGCTAAAAGTCGAAAAATGCAATACAATACCAATCGTTTCCACCACAACTTTCAAACAAAACACACAAAAACCTCAGGACAGTCTCGCGACCAACCGAACATTCACCCAACCGATATCTATCCCGAAGAGGGACTGCCCATTAAACCATGTCAGGAAAAGCTGATCTAGAGCAAGATTAAGTACGACTTCATCTGTTCTTGATATCAAAGTAGATGTGATATGTTCCATAGTCTAAAAAGGGGGTTTATTAAATCCGCGCTGTATTTATTTCCTTCTCTCCTCGCCATAACGTTGTGGATGGAATGATTTCAGACAACGAGACGAGCTTCAATTTCTGAACAAGATGGAAAAGAATAAAGAAAAGAATCTTAAAGGTTTAGACTTTGTGAACATAATTTAATTGTGTCGCAGGAATGTTTCGTTATACTGCGATTCTTTAACGTTGATTGATAGAAAACAAGCCCACGGAGACCAATAAAGGAGCAATCATCGACAATCGATATTTGGAAAGGGAAGGTCAATATTCCTTCCAGATCATACAAAGAAAGCACTTGCAATCACGGAGGCTATTATTAGAATAGTAAGAATGATTTTGCACTGTAGAGTTCTAACTTGTCTATAGAAATTGAATGATGCTGTAAGATAATGTTTAGTTTCCATCATCGCCCACCAGGGTGAAACCCGTTCCGTACCTACTGTGTATGCCAACACGAGAATCCTAATTGCCAGATTCCCCATGAATACTCCAATTCCTTCCGAAACGCCCAGATCTTCGAAATACGCTCCAATACGCATGGCTGCAATACATATGTTAAGCTTTATTCCTCTTCACTTTCGTCACTTTCTTGCTCCTCTACTTGCTCCTCTTCTTGCTGCATTAGCAACGTCTTTTCCATTTCCGCCTCCATTTCCGCCTGAAGATCCAGGTCCATTTCTTCTTCACCCTCGACGCCGGGGTTATTGACTGGACTAGGTAGTTTCAAAAGATCAACATCCTGGTTTTGTTCATAGATTCCATCGTGATCTGCATCTGCATCCTCATCTTCATCACTAATTTCTTCGCTTGGCTCTCTCTGAAAAATTGGTGCCCTATACTCATATTGTTGATGCGAGCTCTGCCCATCTGGAAATTCAACCGTGAAACCATCATCCGAATCTTCTTCTGGTTCGGGCGATGGTTCACGCGGTGGTGCTTTCGGCTTCTGTGCCTTCTCTGCCTTCGCACGAGGAGCAGGTTTTGCTTTTGCTGCTGCAGGTGCCTTTGATTTTGGAGCTTTCTTTTGTGGTACTTTAGATTGAGGTTCCTCAATGATAGCCTTCGTCGGTGGCTCCAACTGCTCATATTGTGATTGTAATTGGGCGGCGTCATCGGTCCACGGTGCGCTCGTCAAGTTCATATCGAATGTAGAATCAATGCGATCCAAAACTAAGACCTTCCTAACGGGATCGAATGTAAGTATAAATTGACCGTCTCCGGAGGTTCGAGCTCCAGTATATACATAATCATCATTGCTATCTGAAAGAGAGAGGTCGTAATTCGCAGAATTGGAATTGGAAGAAGGTTTCAGCTGTGCTGAGTTCGCGGAGGCTCCGATCGAGGGATCAGGTTTGTGATTATCTAACAATTGTCAGTCGATGATTTTATTACATTGATACGACCCAACTTGCATCTTATGCCAGTATATGTTTTGTTGGTAGATTTTCCAAGCAAGGCATCGCTGAGAACGACTGGGTATTTCCCCGGCTTATCCCAATCTATTGCTGTAGTCATGGCTGTCTTTCGATGTGAGAGGTGTTCTTCTTTGAGAATATGTTGGTATTTCGTAGTATATGACAGTAGACCAAGTCGAGGGGTAAATCGATTCTATAAAAGAATGTTTGAAGAGAAAGAGTAAAAGGAAAATTGATTTAATATGAATAATTTTAAGATTACATCAATAGATTGAGTGAGTATTGAGTGCGTATGAGCAACAGGTGATAAAAATGTACCAGTATGGGTAAGATATTCAATGATGGAAAAGAGGGTGAGAGAATGGGGATGAGATGGGGTGTGGATGGGGATGGGGATGGGAATGGGGATCTCATGAGCTAACAGTACTAGGTAAACTTAGGACGATACTCAGTTATGTACTAGGAACACACCCTGCACGGCGAAAATGAATGAATGCTTGAATGTTGATAAATTCGCAATTACCTACCCGGGGCTGATTAATGAAGATAATAGCCATGTGATACTAAATTTAGATCCTTAAAGATCACTTGTTACCTAGGCTTTGTCTTGAAGGTACACCTCTTAGTATTTTCTAGAGAGTACTAATTCTTTATATCTCACTGAGCAATTAATTAATTAATAGATCATACTGAGTTTTATATTATATATTATATATTATAGACTTTGTTATTAAGTAAGACAACGAAAGGAAACTAGTATCGTAGTAATTAATTCATAGGATAATATCTTTTAGTAAAAAAATCCGACTTTTATTAAAATCCTATATCAATTTATTTATTTAGACTTTATAATCTATAAATTAAAATTTATAAAATCTATAATATATCTCATAAGACTTTATAGTCTATTCTAATATTTTCTTATTTAAAAAAAGAAAATTCTTTAATAGTTTAGAGTATAATTCTATAAATGAGTATAACTAATAACTAGATATTCTCCTATGAATTAGTTAACACGATAGTTATTAATAGAAAATTATCCTTTGTAATAGGACAGGAGAGAGTTCTTGTCTAGTGTTGCCTACCTATGGGCTATGTTACGACGGCATCCAACATACCGCGTCACATGACATAAATTACATGTGATGGAGCGTCAAGGAGCTTCAGCGCTCCTAAAGCGCATTGCGATTCTTAACGATCCAACATATCAAAAAGGTTCTAGGGATTAGGATAAAGAATAAAGATCTATATAAGGGAATGAATTTCATTATAATATAAAGCTTCATACTTAAGAACAATTATTAGTTTCATTACTATAGTTATGAGAATTGCAACCAATTACAACCTTATTGAATTTCTATTTGAAGTTTAATCTAAACCACCTCAAGAGAACTCTAGACACTTCCACGTGACCCTAGAGGCAGCTCCCGTAACAGGCTAGTATCATTACTATCATAGGTGCGAGGTGGTACGAGATAGACACTAACAAATTCTTATCTAAATTCTTATCAATCTCACACATAATTTCCTTTGTAGATACTCTCAGTACTTTACGTAGATCGGTAGGTGAGAGTGCACGTGACCATTAGGTAGATTCATAATATTCGTGATCAATCCGTCTTGCGATCATCTTGAGTAACGTATTACAACACTCAAAGTTTCACGATGTAGGTACCCAAGTAGGCAAGGTGACACTCATAAGCACTCAGTTTCCCCTCTATCACTACCTACCAATGCAAGCGGCAAATGCTGTAATTATGCACACACAATTCATTCACCCTAGAACACCTGGTGCATGCTACCCACGTCGGTACCCAGGATGTTTGGTTCTCCCGAAGTCGGCGATTGAATATAGCCTCATGTGCATTCATACCATGCATATTAAATTTATGCGTGTGCGGGGTGGGAAGGACACTCGAAGTTTCCTTAATTACAAGGCGACATGAAATATGAAAGTGGTCTGCTTTTTCTCAAATTCTCAATACAGTTTGTGTTATAGACTTCCTTTCTATCATATACCCGATAGTGTTTTTCTAAGATCCTAAGTCTTGATCTCGTTCCCCTCAATTCTCAACATGGCGCCAGATATTTCTCAGTGGACCACGCAAAGCGACCCTTCGTTGAATATTCCTGCCGATGGTTATCAAATACCTGACATTACCTTCCGTGACCCCAAAAATCGACGCCTCAAGGTCCTCACAATTGGTGCAGGAGTGTCAGGAATCATGATGGCATATCATATCCAGAAACACTGCCAGAAGTAAGGACATCACCCATTGTGAAGCACAGAGATCAATACTAAGTTGTGCAGTGTTGAGCATGTCATTTACGAAAAGAATCCTGATATCGGAGGAACTTGGTACGAAAATAGATATCCCGGCGCCGCTTGCGATGTTCCTTCACACGCATATGCATTCTCTTTTGCTCTCAACCCTGATTGGCCAAAGTACGCTAGTGGTTCTAAAGATATCTGGAAATATCTGGACAAGGTCTGCGAAGTTTTCGACCTTAAGAAATACATGACCTTTAATACTGAGGTAGTCGGATGTTTTTGGGACGAGGAGACTGGGAAATGGACTGTCAAGATGAAGCAGACATCAGAATCTGGCGAGAAGCAATTCGAGGAGACTAGTGACTTGTTACTACATGCAACAGGCATACTGAATAATTTCAAATGGCCGGATATCAAGGGTATTGAGAAATTCAAAGGAAAAGTCATTCGTGTGTTAACAGTTGCCTTTTAGTTCATGAAATAAACACTGACTAGAGATAGACACGGCAAGATGGCCAGATGGCTATCAAGAAGAACAATGGAAGAATGAGTCCGTGGCAATTATTGGCTCCGGAGCTTCTTCGATTCAGACATTGCCTAACATGCAACCCCATGTTAAGCACATCGATGTTTACGTACGTACTCCGGTATGGTTCATCTCGATCGCTGGAAATGATGGAAGAAGCAAAGAATATACCCCGGAGCAACGTGAAAAGTTCAGAAACGACTTGCCTGCGCTTATAGAGCATACGAAGTACTTGGAAAATGAGATAAATGGTATTTGGGATTTGTTCTTCGAGGATAGCATGGCTCAGAAAGATGCTCAAAGATTGTTTGGGGCACGAATGGGCGAAATTATTAAAGACAAGAGGCTGCTTCAGGGCTTGACTCCTAGTTTCTCTCTCGGTTGTCGCAGAGTTACTCCTGGTGAGTGCACTTCATAATTAAAGGGGCCAGGCTAATGATGTAGGCGATCCTTATATGACTGCGATTCAAGAGCCAAATGTAGATGTTCATTTTTCTGCAGTTGAGGAGATTACAGAAGACTCTGTTATTGACAGTGAAGGGCAGAAATGTAAAGTGGATACAATAATCTGTGCCACAGGCTTTGATGTCTCATATCGCCCTCGCTTCCCAATAGTAGGTCAAAATGGAGTTGATCTTCGAGAAAAATGGAAGACAATCCCAGAATCATATCTTGGTGAGTGAAATCAATTCTATTCGCTTGTGCAAGAGTGGTATTGGCTGACAAATCTCAGGTCTCGCAGTACCAGATATACCCAATTTCATTACTTTCATTGGACCAACGTGGCCCATTTCAAATGGATCTGTCTTGGGATCTCTAGGCGAGGTAGCTAACTATACTATCAAATTAATTAAAAAGATGCAAAGAGAATTTATCAAGTCTATCGCCCCAAAGCAAGACATGACTGATCTTTTCAATGCACACACGCAAGAGTTCATGAAGAAAACTGTTTGGAGCTCAGGCTCAGGTTGTCGTTCTTGGTATAAAAGTAAAGCCTCATTTCCATCGCTTATCTCTAATATACTAATTCTGGAAAGATAATGAGACAGGACGTGTGAATGCGATTTGGCCTGGTAGCTCCCTGCACTACATAGAGGTTATTGAGGACCCAAGATACGAAGATTACAACATAACATACCAAAATAAACAAAACCCGTAAGTGGTCTTGATATTACAACCCGTCATAGCGAATTGTTCAAGTACTCACTTAAATAAAGATGGGCATACCTTGGACTCGGCTTTACGATTTCCAATCGTACAAGAGATGCGGATATATCACCTTATCTCAACGAAAAGGCTATCGATCCGGAGTGGTTGGAAGTTATGAAATCTGGAGTTCTGGCAGCAGATCGCGATACAAAGAAGTCAACAATCACCGGAAAGTGATACATCAACATATTCTGTCGTTCTATGGTTGCTGTCTCACTACATTCCGATATCGATAAACTCAGCGATACTGCTTCAAGATTTCAACAAAGACTGGAAAATCTCTAAATTTAAAGCTTGCTTCTTGAACTGTAGTGAAATAGTAAGAGACAGTATTTGAGGTAGGTGTTGATCGATGAATAAGTGCTTCTAACTCGCTTATCTTGAAAAGCCATCAATCCTTAGTCGACCACATGTATTCCATGGTGATAAATTTTCCTAGCATGGCTCCTGGGGACTGGTTGGTATTATACCTGTAGAACCACTTTACTTACACCTTGCTTCATGTGTACATCATTGGGGAGTTGAAACCCATAAATCCCCTCATCACAACGATGACCTGTTGATACCAATGACTATTTTTATTGCCTAGATTTCTTAGGTTGTTTCTCCGGAAATCTTGTGTCAATAATTCAGAATGACAGCTTATGCTCGTGCGCTTATCTCTGGCATTGTGGGAAAATAGAGTGATGCGGGATGAAGGATGGTGATCCCCTCCCCATACGTTCGTGGCACCGCATCTTGGCAAAGCTTATCTCCACATACATTGTGGCAACTAAGTCGGGTACCCTACTTTCGGGCCACCCCCCTTTTGGGTCACTTTTTATACCAAAAATGGAATTTTTAACTTTCTTATTTATGGATAGAATTTATTGAAAATTTATATATATATAATTTAGATCATTTTTAGTTTACCTTGAAACTTTCAGATTTTTAGGAATTTTCTATATTGAAATCTAGAACTTTAAAATATCGATTCTTAAATTTATATAGAAATCACATACAAATTTGAAACTTTTATAAAATCTTTAATAACTTTTTAATAAAAATTATTAAAAATAAACTATAAAATTTTATTATAAATTTATAATATATTTATTTTGAAGGATTCAGAAAAAAAAGAAAACTTCTTATAAATAAATATTTAAAAGAATACCCTTAAAATTATAGGAATTATTTATATTATTCTAAATTTATTGTATATTATATCTTTATATTTATTAATTTTTTTTAATTTCTTTTTTAATTTCTATATAAATTTCAATTTAAAAACTTTCAAAAAGATATATAGTTTCCTTTTAATAATTATTATTAAAAAATTATTAAAGATTTATAAAAGTTTCAAATTTATATATAATTCTTATACAAATTTAAAAATCAATATTTTAAAGTTTTAGATCTTAATATAGAAAATTCCTAAAATTTTCAAATTTTCAAAATAAATTTAAAATGGCTTAAATTATATATATTCAAATTTTTATTAAATTAGATTATATATTGATAGAGATATTAATAAACTAAAAAAGCGATTTTTGGTATAAAAGGATGGTTTAAAACAGGGGTGGCCTGAAAGTAGGGTGGTCGATTTACTAGATGTGTAGACTGAAGGAGCAACAATCTACGTGAATTGCGGAGTATGACAAATCTCACCCGCCCCACTTTAGCTTTAGAGTTCTGTTTAATAGGTCATGGATTCTTCTCTGATATGATCGGAAACCATCATTATAATGAATTGTGAGTTCTGTCAAGACACAGTATCAAATTATGGGATCCAATGATTCTAACTCCGACTTGGGGGAATTCCTCATACTTGATGATATCGTTACTGTAAGGGCAGCCGATGTACATCAAGTCCCCCATTCTTGCCTACCCTCGGCCTGGCAAGGGTGTGGCTGATTTCGAACTTTTCACTGGCCAAAATTTGGACAGGTTCATTGATCAAGCTACCAAAGAATATATACGGTGTGGTTGTACACCAGTGAGTCTTTTCGGTCATTGGGCTAAAATTTTGTGTTAACGAGATCAGGATCAAGACCAAGTGATTGCTCTTGCAGGTCCATCCGATCTCGATTATGTGGTATCATTATTTGCATTGAGTAGATTGGGATATACCGTTCTGCTCCTTTCACCAAGACTCGCAGCACCCGCGATTACAAATCTTTTTAAGATGACAAATTGTGATACTATCATTTATCCTAATCTATCTATGCTCGTTTCAAACTTATCCCAAGCCAAGAAAGACTATCTTCCAAAGGAACTGAGAATAATCTCTATGGCGACGCGTGAAATATACGACAGGCCTGAAGTACTAGGGGAGCCTCGTTTTATCAGAATGATTGACAAACATGAGGAAAGGAAGAAGGTAGCGATAATATGTCACTCTTCAGGCTCAACGGGTCTCCCGAAACCAATTTATCAACCTCACAATCGCTTCATTGCTACTGTTTCTAACAGAGAAGGAACTTCTGAATTCACAACATTCCCTCTATATCATAGTTGGGGTAACAAACACATCACTAATACGATGTGGATAGGAAAAACTATGTATTTGCATAGTGCTACAGTGCCAATGACAGCAGATGGAATGGTTGAAGTCTTGCAGAAGGTTAAGCCTTCTGTTTTGCATGCTGTTCCATATGCTTTGAAGCTACTTGGGGAGACTCGGAAAGGAGTGGAAGAGATGGCGAGTTGTTCTGAAGTTCTTTACTCGGGAAGTCAGTGTCCGGATAGTCTTGGTGATTATCTTACAAGCAAGTGAGCATAGTCGCTTTTTATTGCTCTTATACTATGAAATATCTCATTACATGAGAAAATTCTATTTTGGGGGTTTTAATTGTTGTTTACAATTGGCTATGATCAGGAGAGGATTACTAACTTTTCAATTCATCAGAGGTGTGATTCTGAACACATTATTTGGCGCGTAAGTATTCCTGAACATCCAAATTCAATGATTCACAAATTACTGAACTTAGATTCAGGACAGAATTTGGCTCTTTTGGTTCAAATAGAGGGCGTGCGCCCGGTGATCACAGTTGGAACTATCTTCGCATCTTGCCCTCAGTGATTCCACACGTATACATGAAGCCAATTGACAACAACACATACGAAAGTGTCTTTCTATCATCTCTCTCACAACTAGTAACATCAAATTCGGATGATCCACCAGGTTCCTATCATTCTAAGGATATTTTCACACCCCATCCTAATATCCCTAATGCTTGGAAATATCTGGGCAGGATTGATGATCGGATTACATTAATCAATGGAGAAAAAGTTCTTCCAACTCCGATAGAAGGACGTATTCGACATGAATTACTCGTTAGAGAAGCAGTGGTCTTTGGGATCGATAAAGCTTTACCAGGTCTTCTCGTCATACGCTCAGAAGCCGCGCGAGAAATGTCGGATGAGGAATTTATTAATGGCATTTGGCCTGCAATTGGAGAGGCAAATGCAAACGCTGAGAGTTTATCTCAAATAAGTAGAGAAATGACACTTACTCTCCCGGCTGGAATAGAATATCCGGTGACCGACAAAGGGTCTGTCATTCGCGCTCAGGTGTATCGCCAATTTGCCGAACACATAAAAGAAGTCTATCGACGATTTGAAGAAGCCGGGACGGGAACCCTAGTACTCGAAGGATCGGAATTAGAACAATATATTTTGAGATTATTTGTTAATGAATTAGGAATCCAGCTCACAGGTCCAGAAGATGACTTTTTCACTGCGGGTATGGATAGTCTCAAAGCTATTCAAGCAAGAAGCTTGCTTTTGAAAAAACTTTCCATGGGTGGTAATGTGCGGAATCTTAGTCAGAATGTCGTGTTTGAAAGTTCCAGTGTTGCTGGATTGGCGAAGAAATTATGTGCGATTCAAAAGGGGGAAGAGGTGACAGATACCGAAGATGTATTTGAGGCCATGAGGACATCAGTCGAGAAATACTCAAAATTTAAACCACATACTCCAGGCACAAGTAGTGTTGAGAAGAAAGTTGTCGTAAGTCCCCTTACGTTCCACAAAGTATCGATGTTGATAACATATACAGGTTCTTACAGGAGCCACGGGCTCCCTAGGCGCCCATATTCTCGCTCAACTTTCGCTTGATGACGAGGTCCACAAAGTATATTGTTTAGTGCGAGGCGAACATCCAAATGCGCGGATCAAAGAATCCTTGATAAAAAGAGGCCTTGACGAAGTCTCCTCCGATCCAAAAATCACAGGATTAACAAGCAATCTCAGTGATTCAACTCTCGGTCTCGAGAACTCAATCCTCCAAGAACTCAAAACCAAAACCACCCACATCATCCACGCCGCCTGGGCCGTAAACTTTAATGTCAGTTTCTCCGCCTTCGAAAACGATCTCGCCGGTGTCCACAATCTCATCCAACTATCCCTCTCCACTTCCTCTCTAACCCCCGCACGCTTTTTCTTCTGCTCTTCCATCTCCGTAGCTTTGGGTACCGATCCCCGAGCCACTATCCCCGAAGCCCCTGTCAAAATATCCCAATGTTCATCCAGCGGCTACGCGCGCTCTAAATGGGTCGCGGAACAAATTGTGTCTGTCGCATCTTCCCAATATGCCGCGCATGCATATATATTGCGTATTGGACAAATAGCTGGAGATACAAAATTGGGTATTTGGAATGAGACGGAAGCTATACCCTTGATTATTAGATCTGCGCTTATGCTTGGGAAACTCCCGATGTTGGATATGGTATGTACTATTTTTACTATACACTCTTATATTATCCTATCTCATCCCATCTTTTTCATTCATTTTGTCCCTCTTATCTATTCTATTCATTCCATCTATCCCACCCCTCTCCCCCAAATCCCATTCCCCCTCCAACCCGACTAACATCAACCCCTCAGCACTGCACCTGGCTCCCCCTCAACACTCTCACCATCACCATCCTCTCCCTGATCTTTCTCCCCCGTCCTCCAGAACCAATCTATAATCTCCTCTCCCCTCACACATTTCACTGGACCCGCACTCTCCTCCCTCTCCTCAAATCCCTCAATCTGGATTTCATTCCTTGTCCTGTAGAAGAATGGTTAGATGATTTGAAAGAGAGCGCGAGGAGTAGTGGGGGTATGAGTGTGGTAAGGGAAAATCCGTCGGTGAAGTTGCTGGGGTATTGGGAGGGGGTTTATGGTAATGGTAATGGTGGGGGAAAGGGGAATGGGAAAGGGAATGGAAAAGGAGATATAAAATTTGAAATTGGGAATGCAGAGAGGGATAGTGAACATTTGAGGGAGGCACCGGATTTGGTGGAAGAGGGATGTGGATATATGGGGATGGTGGTAGAGAGGTGGATGAAGGGGTGGGTGGGGAGGGGGAGTGAGGGGGGAAGGAGGTAAGGGTGTGAGGGTGTGAGTTGGTGAGTTGTGAGTTGTGAGTTAGAATGGTTTATCTTTAGAGGGAGGAAAGAAAGAGAAAGAAGAGAAAAGAAACTTACATTCCAGTTGTTCATTACCTACCTACTCACCGATAAGCCTCATGTCTTTCAGAGTAAAACCATAGCAAGATGAGATCAGAATATTACAAACGCTCCATCTGAACATATATCACATACAGTATGACATCCCATTGCCATCCTCTTAATCAACACAATAAAATCTAGAATATCAAAAATCCTCGTCTCCAAGATTGAATTTAAACACACCCTCGTCTTCCCCTCCCCTTCACAATGCATATCAAAATATCAATCAGTGACCAACTCCTCCGCATACCCTTAGTCACGTTCGTACACTCACTAAACCCCCTCGCCCATTTCACTCATCTCCATCTCCATCCTCCAAACTCTCACATCAGCCCGTAATGTACAAATTCAAAATCTCTTTCTCTTTCACTGCCACCCTGGATTTCCATCTCCATCTACATCTTCATCTTCATCTTCATCCACATCTCCCAAAAACCTTCCCCTATTTCAATCTTCTCCTCTCACAAAAAGTTAAAACTCATCTTATTTTATTTTTTATTTTTTACCTACCTACACAATATATCTGTCAGCTCATTCCCTAACACACTTTCCACCCCTGACTCCCTCATTATATACGAGTATATATTCCTTCTATTCTTTCCTTTCTTATTCAATCTTCTACTCTACCCCTTCTATCCCTCATATCACCTCTCTATTTTAGCCTTCTTTCAATCCCCAATTTCTTTACCTATCCTTCAATATATTTTTATTTCGATTCCTACTTTATCCTATTTCTATCTTCCTCCATTCCTCCTCATTCCCTATCCCACACCCTCACCCCCAGACACACATACTCATTATTTATTCTCCAATCCACAGATATCCACATCCCCATCCCATCCTAATTCCTATCTTATTCTCAACCCCTTTCTCTATTCCCACATACACACCCATACACAAATGCCCTAATCTCACCAGCAATCTAGCAACCCTACAATGTCCTCCTCCATACCCCTCCAAAATCCCCACTCGCTATCTAATCCTCCTCACCAACCCCCTCTTGATAATAACAGTCCTAACAACTCATAAATATAGATATAAACAAAATCAAAAACACAAACCCACCCCCGAAATTATTTCCCAGAACCATTTCATCTCATCTCTCATTACAACCCCATCTCATCAAACAAAAAAAACGACCAATCAGACGACCAATCAAACGACCAATCAATATAATCTTCTCACTGCTATTAAAACAATCATTTAAATTATTCTACTCCTCCTTATTATCTACTCTCTCATCCCTTATACTCTACTCCTCCTTATTACTCTACTCATTACTCATTACTCTAAGTCAACTACCCCACTTTCCGACCACCCCCTGTTTCCGACCACCTAAAAAATTCATATTATCTACACTTAAAACTTTAATAACTCAATAACTATTGAACTTCAATGAAATCGCCTGTAGAATCACTTTCTATAGCACTAGAGCTATCATCTACCTCATCTTCACGATCTCCAGCTTCAATTTGTGTACGCCTTATAGCTCTAATCCCTGCGAACTTCGAATTTGGAGATACCACAACCTTTCGCCTTTTTCTAGGTAATGCTTCATCTAATTGATATTCTAGCTTTCTAATCTTATTCTCTGCCTCTAAGAGTTCATAATCCTTAGCATCGAATCCTTTTATAATCTTGCGAAATAGTAATCTTCGTGTTGGCAAATCGATCTCCTTCTCTTGAATCATTATATCTCTATATTTTCTGATATCGGCTCCTTTTTGAGGGGTTTTCCATTGAATAAACGATGAATATATATTCCATTGAAGAATATGATCATCATCAGATTCAGGATTAAGTGATAAAACCTCTCTATTGCTATTTTCAAGCAAAAGTCGACTCATAAGAGGTTTAGCCATATTTTTGGGCCAAAGACCACTAGCTTGCCACCCAGACTTGATATTTTGAATAGTTAAACCTTCTATTCTAGCCTTCTGATAGCAAGAAAGGAAATTGCGCTTTCCAATTGGTGAGGAATCGGATAATAGACTTAATTTATTAAGTTCGATTCGATATGCACTTTTTAGGGGTGAGAACACAGATAAATCGAGTGGTTGTAGTACGTGTGACGTATGTGGTGGGAGAAATAAGAGATATATGTTGTTATTAAAGCATTCTAACATAAATGCTGTAGTTTCATGGCTTCCGTGTCCGTCCAAAATGAGGAGTCTTGAATTTTCCGGCTGAATAGGGGTAGTTTGAGGGATATAGATCTTTTTCAGCCATTCTAAAGCTGTAGCATCTGTAGTCCATCCATTTTCTGTAGCGGTAAAGTTCCAACCCTTGAATAGAGTCAAATCTGTTGGAAACCATTGTTGTTGAACTGATTTTCCCTTATATATTACAAGGGGAGTAATGCTTTTTCCATTGGCTGAAATGCATTCTATAAAAGAGGTCCAAATTCGAGATCCAGGTTGCTTTTTTTGAATAAATCTTCGATCAGTGCTTCCTACTACTAGTCCATTAAGACCCTGACCCTCCATTATACCTGCTTCATCCATATTCCATCTGTTGGCCGGCTTAATAGCCTTGATTTCAGGGATTGCGAGGTTCCGGAACCACTTCTTAATAATATCAGATGTAGCACCTGAAACTAGTGCAGAATCGATTTGATGTTGCTTCTTAGTTCCAATATTAGGATGCCTTCGAAAAAAGCTATGTATCCATTTCTTTCCAAGTGAGGGATCCTCCCCTCGTACAATAAGGAGGTGCTCTGCCATCTCTCTGATTTGACGATGTGTAGGGCTAGTACCAAGAGCTTCCTGTACTAATATCCATTCTGCTAGTCGATTCTCCTGAATTGGAGATAACTTTTGAAGTATTTGGGCGCCTTTTTGATGCGAAACTCCACCATATATTCGATCGTGAAGTGTGGTACGTGGAACACCATAATCCAAGCTAGCTCTTCGTATGCTTGCTCCATTTGTAATCGCTCTAAGAGCCTCTGCGATATCTTCTTCGGTATATCTATTCTTCATATCACAATTATAATAATATCAAAATTTCAAATCAATTGATTAAAGCATTGTTGAGTTATTCAAAGTATAAATTTTATAATTACTCAAAGCGGTGTGGTTTTTGAGGTGGTCGAAAAGAGGGGGTGGTCGGAAAGTGGGGTAGTTGACTTACTTATTATTTATTATTCTATTTATTACTCTACTCACTAATCATTATTCTACTTATTACTTATTAATCTATTTATCATTTATTATTCATTAATCTACTAATTACTCCTCTTCATTACTCCTCCTTATTACTCATTACTCATCCTCTCTTCAATTCAAAATAAACAATTTCGAATCAAACATATAGTCTCGAAATAACGTGGTTTATCATCATGCGGCCCACTTTCACCTCAATTTGCACCCTTTTATTTCAACACGCGTTTTATCAACAACCCACGATGCATTCGAATAATGAAGAAGCCCGTATACTCCTAGCTATCGATGCTATTCATAAAGACAAAAAACTAAGTGTTAGAAAGGTTGCTACGATGTATAATATACCACGTACAACACTACGGCGTAGAATAGACGGTTTTACCCCTCGTACAGAATATCGACATAAAACCCATAAACTTACAGAATTAGAAGAAGAGATCATTATTCAATATATTCTTGATATGGATTCGAGAGGTTTTCCACCTAAACTTAAAGGGGTGGAAGATATGGCGAATCATATTCTTGAATCGAGAGGTGGAAAAGCGGTTGGAAAGCTCTGGGCGCATCGATTCGTAAAGCGTCACAAAGAATTAAAGACGCGTTTTAGTCGTATTTATGACTTTCAAAGAGCTTTGTGCGAGGATCCTGAGTTTATTCGAAAGTGGTTTCGTCTTATATCGAATATGCGAGCGAAATTTGGTATACAAGATTGCGATATGTGGAATTTCGACGAAACAGGCTTTATGATGGGAGTTATAAATGCTGGTATGGTAGTTACTAGTGCTGGGAGGAGTGGTAGGAGTAAAGCAGTACAACCAGGCAATAGGGAATGGGCGACAGCGATCATATGCGGTAGTAGTGTAGGGGAAATCATACCTCCATTCCTGGTGGTTCAAGGACAGGTGCATCTTTCCAATTGGTATACGGAAACCGATCTTCCTGCAGATTGGGCTATTAAACCTACTAGCAATGGGTGGACGAACAATGAGACAGGATTGGAATGGTTAAAACACTTCGATAAACATACAAAGGATTGCAGAGTAGGCAAATACCGAATGTTGGTGCTAGACGGACACGAAAGCTATGAATCCATACCTTTTCAATTATATTGCAAGGAGAATGATATTATATGTGTATGCCTACCACTGTATTCAAGTTATTTAACTCAATCACTTGATGTCGGATGTTTTAATAGGTTAAAACAAGAATATGGTACTCAAATTGAGGGGTTTATAAGGGCACATATCAATCATATCTCAAAGGTCGAATTCTTTATAGCTTTTAAAACTGCATATCAACGATCGATCACGAATCAGAATATGAAATCTGGATTCCGAGGAACAGGATTAATCCCCTTTAATCCTGAAATAGTACTCTCAAAATTAGATATTCGAATATATATATCTAGTCCTTCTCCTTTTGTCAATTTAGACCTTTGGACCTCTCAAACTTCTTACAATCCTACGGAAGCTCTTTCTCAATCAACATTAATTAAATCTCGAATCAATTGTTATCAATCAAGCTCTCCTACACTTATATTTGAGACTATACTAGCTCTAACTAAAGGTATAGAGAGATTAGCTCATGAGAATACACTTTTAAATGCAGAGATCCGTACACTTTGGGCAGCAAATGAGGCATTAAGCAAGCATCGACGTGCGAAAAAAACCCAATTGCGTCAAGGAGAAGTACTTACTGGACAAGAGGCTCTTGATATATTATCTCAGCAAAAGGTTGATATTCAGATTCAACGCGACGAGCGTCAAAAAGGGAGGAATCCTAATGGGGAAGTATCTTCTAATAAATGCTGTAGTAAGTGTGGAAAACCAGGTCATAATTCAAGAACTTGTCAAAACGATATAATAGATCCTAGATTATTAGATTCTTAATAGTTTTAATCAATTGAATCAATTGTTGTTGAGTAATATGGATTTAAAAATACAAATTGAGGTGAAAGT